ACTATCTAGTATAGCCTAGTCCTTTCTAATCTTATAGTCTATATACCTACCTTAGCTAGAATTAAAGTAATCTTTAATTACCCTATTCTCTCTCGTACGCTACTCCCTTAGAAGTAGATTAGGGAGATCTAGTACGCGGAAGGTTAACTCTTATATATCGTTAATATACTTCTTATCTACCGTATAATATAGTATAGAGTTAATAAACGCTTAATCCGTAGGGGCTATCGTACCTAATAACTAGGTCGAGGTACTCTCCTACGCCGTTTATTATTATTACTATACTTACGGTTAAGGTTACGGTAGCGTATATACTACTAGTACTTAATAGTATACCGTAAGTACCTTCGGTAGAGTACCGGCCGGCGGCGGTAGTGCACCTACTATATTAGGTAGTAGGTTTAGTATTTAATTAAGATATATACTATTATTACTTACTATAGTAATTTCGTCGTCGTCGTCGTAGTCTTGTTAGTTAGTTAAGTCGTCGTCGTCGGCGTACTAACTAAAGCGAGCTAATTACGCCCGTATACGGCCTACTATAGCTCTACCCCGGCTCCTTCCCCTCTACGTACTCGTACGAGCTATAAAATCGTCGTTAGTAATCTAGTACGTAGGTATACGTAGTCGTATCTTAATATAGAGTGTAATCTACGGCTCCTACGACTAATCTCGTCGTCGATAGTTAGGTAGCGCGCGCTACTAAGTAGAGTAAAGGATACTAAGTTATAGTAGAAGGGGAGTGCCGGTATCTAGCTCTTATATATAGACTAACGAATATTTTTCTATCTAATTATATACTTAAAGGTCTAGATAAAAGGTAAAGATACTAATATACTAATAAATTATAAAAGATTAGTCTAATTTTGTATTCCTTAAAATATTAGAAAAAGGACTATTTATAAAGTAATACTACTAGGTGTTTAGTACTTTAGTATCCTACTCTTTACTTAGAGGCCTAAATAATATATCTAAAGACTAATAAACTAATTAAATAGTAAAGATTAGTCTAATTTAAGGATTTTTAAAATACTAGAAAAGAGACTATTTATTAAGTATTACTACTAGTTAAGTAGTATTTATCTATTAAATCTTCTACGTAAAAACTAAGAGAGAAAGTATAAAGACTATTAAACTAATAAGATAAGAGGAATTAGTCTAATTTAGAGTTTTTAGATTTTTAATAATACTAGAAAAGGTATAATTCTTAAAGTAATACTACTAGGTAAGTAGTATCTTTTTCTCTAATTATCTACTAAAAGGCTCTAGTAAATAGTAGAAAGACTAAGAAACTACTAGAATAGATAAGATTAGCCTAATCTAGACTTTTTAAGATATTAGTAGAAGATCTTTTATATAAGTAGTACTACTAGCTAACTAGTATTTTGCTCTCTTGACCTAAGCTAAGAGCCCTATATAAAAGGTATATAGACTGAGATACTATTAGATTAGAGAGGATTAGCCTAATTTAGAGAATTTTAAAATTTTAGGGAAAGGTCTATTTCTTTTATAGTACTACTAGATATAAAGTCTTTTTCTATCTACTAGTATACTTTAAGCTCTAGATAAAAGGTATAAAGACTAATAAACTAATAAAATTAAAAAGAGAAGTTAAATTTAGAGTTTCTAAGATATTAGTAAAAGGACTATTCCTTAGGTAATACTACTAAGTAATTAGTATCTTACGATCTAATAAGATACCTTAAGGTCTAAAGAAAAGGTATAAAGACTAATCTACTAGTAAGGTATAGGAGATTAGTCTAATTTAGAGTTTATTAGATATTAGAAGAGGAGTATTCTCTAAGTAATACTACTTAGGTATATAGTATTTTAGTATCTAGTCTTTTATTTATAGGCCTAAATAGCATTTAGAAAGACTAATAAACTAATAGAATAGATAAGATTACTCTAATATAGAGTTCTTAAGAAATTAGGAAGAGAACTATATATTTTATATTCGTTAGTCTATATACAAGGGCTAATGCCGGCACCCCCCTCTTACTGTATCTTAGGTATAATACTATTATATAAGTAGTATCTTATTCTCTAATCGTTTTCTTAGAGGCCTAGTTAATAGTTAGAAAGACTAATAAACTAATAAAATAGTAAATATTAGTCTAATCTAGAGAGTTTTAAGATATTAGAAAAAGGGCTATCTATTTAGTAATACTACTAAGTAAGTAGTATTTAATTATCTAATACTCTACTTAGAGGCCTAAATAATAGTTAGAGAACCTAATAAACTAATCGTATAGAGATAATTAGTCTAATTTCGCGTTCTTAAGATATTAGAAGAATATCTATTCCCTAAGTAATACTAATAGGTAAGTAGTAATTTTCTATAAAGCTATATACTTTAAGGCCTATAGAAAGGATATAATAACTAAGAAACTAATAAAATAAAGAGAAGTAGTCTAATTTAAAGATTAAAAGATACTATAGAAAGATCTATTTCTTAAATACTACTACTAAGTAAGTAGTATCTTTTTATCTGATAACTTACTCTTAGACCTAAATTAAAGGTAGAAAGACTAATATACTAATAGTATAGAGAATATTAGTCGAGATTAGATACTTTAAAGATATTAGAAAAAAACTATTTATTAGGTAATACTACTAAGTAAGAAGTATTTTACTATCTTATCGCTTACTTTAAGATCTAGATTAAAGCTAGAAAGACTAGTATACTAAGAGAATAGGGCAGATTAGTCTAATCTAGAGATATTAAGTAAATCTTAACGTCTATTCGTTTTAGAACGGTCTAAAGTAAAGATAGGTATCCTTCTATATAAGTAGAGTCTATTATAACTACTACTACTTCGTATACGTACCTATCTTGGTCGTAAACCTTATATAGTGTCTTTATTCGCTATATAAAGTCGCTTAATCGCTATAGTAACTAGACTATACTACTACCGAGTATACTATAAGCGTATAGTATAATAAAGTAGGTTATAAAGATTAGTATATAGTAAAACTAGGTACTGTCTAGTATAGCCTATTCTTTACTAATTTTATAATCTATATACTTACCCTAGCTTAAATTAAAGTAATTCTTAATTATTCTATTCTCTTTTACCTACTATTCCTTTAGTAAGAGGTTTAGTAGATCTAAAGTAGGGAAGCTTAAGTCTTAAATATCGTTAATGTACTTTTTGTCTATAGTATAGTATAGTATAGAGTTAATAAAGGTTTAGTATATAGGAGAGATCGTACCTAATAGTTAAGTAGGTACTCCTTCCTACTCTATTTACTAAGGCTACTACTATACTAGCGGCTATAGTAGTAGTAGTACGTAAGCTACTAACGCTAAGTAGTACGCTATAAGAACCTCTAGTAGCGTACTAGCTAGTAGTAGCGGAATGCCTATAGGGTTTAGTAGTAGACTAAGTACGTTCCTAAGGTTTATATTACTATCTAAGCTACTTATAATAGTAATTTCGTCGTCGTCGTCGTCGTAATCTTAATCGATTACGTCGTTATTATACTACTAACTAAGAGTAGATTACGCTCGGGTACAGCCTATCGTAGTAACTCTACCTCGGCTTCTTCCTCTCTAAGTAAAGCTACGTACTATAATTGTCGTTCGTTAAGAGTATAGTAGAGTATACCGATCGCTAAGGTACGAATAGTATACTACTACTATCCTCTATATTCGTCGTCTATAGTAGGCTAACTACGCACTACTAGATAGAGTAAAGGATACTAAGATATAGTAAGAGAGGGATACTAGTATTAGCCCTTATATATAGACTAACGAATATTTAAAAGCTACTTAGTAAATATATTAAAGAAGACCTAAATCTAGTCTACTTCTATAGAAATATAAGTAAAACTAGAAAGCTCTAGAGATAAAGCTAGTAAGAAGGATTTAAAGATATATTAAAAGGAAGTTAGCGCTCTAATATACCTATCTATAAAGACTAGACTAGATCTAGCCTTTACTATAGAGTATTACGGTAATTATATATCTACGCCTAATCTAGCTATCTTAAAGCCTTAAGCTATATTTCCAAATATATTCCTAAAAGATTTAAAGTCTACGCTACTACGGCCTAGGACAGTATAGAAAATTGTCTCGTAACGGAGACGTTCCTAGTTCGATACCTACAACGAGCTAGTAGTAAAGTAGCGGCGATAGTATATATTCCTCTATAGGCTAAGTAGCTCGAAGGGACGGAGCTAGCAACCTTGTATAGCTTCGGATTATCTTATAAAAGTCTCTAATGTCTCCTTTACGCCGGACTCTATAGCCGTACTATACGTATACTCCGAAGCATATTACTATAGTAAGTCCTAGCTACGGTAGACATACATGTCGTCTTACCCTTTAGTACGGAGGTAAGTAGCGCTAGTTTCCTCGTAGTCTAGTATTAAACTCTCTACCGTTAGGTCTATAACATATATAGTAGCTTAGCGGACGAAGTTAAGTCTAGTCTATCTATATAGTAGACTATTCTATAAACTAATAGTATACTACCTATAGACCGATGTCCCTTAAATTAACTACTAACAGGGAACAACTATTACAAAAATCTAGTAAACTTAATAGTGGTTAATCTAGCGCTTCCTACTATAGACTACTTATATAGATAAACGTTCTGTTGAAAACAAGCCGCTTATAAGTCAAACTGTATCGATATTTTGACCGGACGAAGAGGGTAACATCACCTGAACTGCTTATTAGATTCGCTAGTTCAGCAGTTATTCGTAAGCCGTTTATATATGACCTATACCCGCCAAAGTACCCGCGACAAGTGGGAATGGGTACGGATCGTACAGTAGGCCAACGTTAGTGGGAGTCAAGTAAGCACAGCCGATATCAAATGGAATGTAACATAGCGTTGAATGCTTCATACTCAATTGCATTAACTAATGTCCACGATCCAAGGCGCGAGAGATGTACTCGTCGGGTAATAGACTCCGTAGGACTCACTCCGAAACGCCTCCTCCCGGTCACAACGCATTTCTCGTAAACGCCCGGTCTTCTTATGGGCAATCTAGACACCACTACGATGCACCAGTGTACCGCCTCTTCTGAACTGCACGCTCTCGCGACGGACAAGAATCTGCAAGGCGCGATTAAGCGATTGCTCGCTGTAGTTCTTGCGCTCCACGAATTCGCGGCGTAATGTCGCCAGCGAAGAGGTATACCCGATAGGCAATCTGCAACAGACGTCAGCAAGGCATCCAAGATCCGGTCGCAACGGGAGGAACATACCTTCTCCTCAGCTCCTCTTCAACTTTGTGAACTTCTTCGACCAGCTCGCGATTACCACCCATGCCCACAGCTGATCTGTCGCCTCCGGCACTCATTACCGCATCCATCGTACTGCCCAGAAACAATCGTATCGCTTCGTCCACATGCTTCTCCGTCGCAATGGGCTGAAGTTCGATCTTTGCTAGCGACTCCGTGATACGGACCAACGATTCAAGCTGACGCACAGTGATGGGAATCGATGAGCGCTGGTTTGCATCTTGCTCAGCCCTTGCAACCTGACGCCTGATGCTAACAAAGTGCGAGCTTAGCTTCTCGGCGGCTTCCGGCGAAAGTCGAGGCGCACATCGCGACTTTGCATAGCTAATATATCTCTTCATCTTCTCCACGGGAATCTCTGCGTGTGCTTGTTCTTGCACGCCTTGCCCACCCATGTGCAGGCCCATGACGTGCTTGGCAATGGTTTCATCACGATTTCGGTCGTGGTCGTCCCGGACAATGAAGATCAAGTCGAAACGCGAGAGGATAGTCGTCTGGAAGTCGATATTCTCGCCTGGAGACTTCAGATCGTCGTACCGGCCGAAGATTGGGTTGGCGGCTGCAAGAACGGATGTTCGGGAGTTGAGAATAGTCGTTATTCCAGCTTTGGCAATCGAGATTGTCTGCTGTTCCATGGCTTCATGGATGGCAACCCGATCCTCGTCGCGCATCTTGTCAAACTCATCGATACAGACCACACCACCGTCTGCGAGAACCATGGCTCCTCCTTCGAGATAGAATTCCCTCGTGTTGGTGTCGCGTTGAACACTGGCAGTAAGACCAGCTGCCGATGATCCTTTGCCAGATGTGTAGACAGCAATGGGCGAGCATTTCTCAACGAATTTCAGCAATTGCGACTTGGCTGTGCCAGGATCTCCGAGCAGCAGAACGTTGATGTCTCCACGCAATTTCATTCCGTCTGGCAGAATCTTCTTGCTGCCTCCCATGAGCAGACAGGTAATTGCTTTCTTGATGTCGTTGTTCCCGTAGATGGATGGCGCAACACAGTCCGCAAACAGGGAGTAAATGTCCGGCCTTCTCGACATCTCCAAGAACTCTTGTTCTTCCTCCTCGCTGAACTGAATGCCCATTCCGCCGGCCTGGTTGTGCGAAACATCGGTCTGAATACCGATTGCCCTCAAGTACGGATTTCTAATTGCCACCGCTCCCTTGTTGTTCTTCTGGCTGTTGTAGATGCTGAATACGCCCATGACGACACATCTTGAGCCAGGCACTACCCTGTTCGCAAGATACCGATCCGCGCTAACAAGAATGTGTCTGGGCAGTTCGCCAACGGGCACATCATCCGGTGCTTCCTGCAGCTTCAATACTTGTTGATCAATGAATTGGGACTTCTCGTGCACGACAAAGTACGGATCCAACGGACACTTGTCACCACCGTCATCTGGAGCCTTGTTGCGACCGCATGTTCTCGGGAGAGTCAGCCCAGTGAACCCTGAAGCAACCAGGACCTCAGATTCATGCTGGCAATTTCTGCACTGGATGTGGACTTTTGTGGCTTTTGAGCTGAGGGTGCTGGCGCCGATGACAATTCCAGGTATTCTCACAAGGTGTGCGACGTTCGTTGCGGTAAGACCACGGATTGAGGTCTGTGAAACGGAGGAGTGGATGAGGAGCTGGTGCTCTGGTAGAGCTTTGGCAAGAGCGAGGTCTTCTTCGCTTCGTGAGGGGTAGAGGATGCGTTGTGTGCACTTCTTCAGCGCCGATTCGAACTGCAAAACATTTCAGTCTGATTGTATATCTCTTCTTCGTAGCTCTTACGATTGGTATGATGTCCGCCGGCTCATTGTTCAGTCGATCTGCGAGTTCCTCGTCGAATGCGATCAGGTGGGCGATGTCGATGTCGCAGTAGTACTGTTTGGACAGCACATTCTCTCTAATCTGGTCACTGGAAGAGCGTCAAGTTCCGCATCGTGTACCCGCATGCGCTTGTCCTTACCGATAGATGTAGATGCTGTCTAGGTGGAATTCCAGCACAAACTTGGTAATCTTCTGCCGCAGTTGCCTGTTGCTTTCCTCGCCGTCCGCTGCTGCCGACTCGCCGAACAGACTGAGCGTATACACTGACTGTCGATCCATGGTAAATGGCGTGGAGGTGGTGGTGGTGGTGGTGATGTGTGTGTTTGCGGTGGTGTCTGGTCGATGTTTCGTGAAAGACTGAACGGAGGTGATGCGGAGGCATTTGTCGCGTGCGACGCGTCTTCCTGCTCCGCGTCGCGTAAAGTGGTTGCAGGGTCTGAGGGCGCGCTAAGGGCTGGAGCCGGGGCCGAAGCCGAAGCCGAGAGCGAGATCGAACAACGTGGCTTGCGGCTTTCACGATCAACAAGAAGATACCTCACTGTGTACCTACTTGTCAATAGGATTCTGCTTCATCACTCACTCACTCCCTCCCTCACTCCCCCTCTCTCCTCTTGCATGTTGTCACGGTGTTGAAGACCTCATGACGCGGATGTCGAGCGCGGGACGGGCGGCGATACCACACTTCCGAATAGGCCATGTCATCTCCCTCTCCTCGATTCTCCATCGACAGCTTCGCCTCGCCCATATCACCCAATGGTAGCCGCAGTGCCTTTCCTTTCCCGCCTCAGGAGGCATCATCCCGCCCCTCTCCCAGCAGACGACCGACTCGAAGAGGCAGCGCATCGAGTACCTTATCAGTCGGATCGATAGGTGGCAGTCTGGATATACAGAGCCGGAGGGGGAGCACAGCGAGGGAGACCAGCCAGAATGCGATATCTACGCTGCTTCAGCCTCCAATCGTGCGGACCGGCCTGATCCCGCACACCCAAGCTTCAGCGGCTGCGGCTGGCTTCAAAGCGCCCACCACGAGAGACATTCCGCCTGTCACGTTGACTAACGTACCACACGTGCCTCCGGAGAACTTCCGCGATTACCTCAATCGCATAGCGCCCCTGTTTGAGAGCTTTCAGAGGGGGAGGTCGGAACCAGAGCAACCCCAATGGCTGAAGAAGGACAAGGAGTCAGAAAAGGCGGATCGATTCGCAGAACAGTTGGAGAGCAGTTTGAGCAGAGATGCATCCGCTCCGCCATCGATATCGCGGCAAGCATCAGTCACTAGTCTTTTCTCCCCTGCTGAGACGCCAGGACAACCCAAGCGAAGGTCATCAGCTCAGTATCGAAAAAATCGCAACGAACCAACACCGCTTTCTACGATACCCACTGTGTATTTTGATCAAGACTTCCACCTGGAGAATCCGCGCACGTTCGATGTTGTCTCCGAGCGATCCGAAATCGTACGACCTCCGCCGGGCACGCCCAGTATCGAAATGAAGGCGCCGAATAGAGCTCCTCAACCCCCACGCAAAGCTCTAGCCACGAATGCGATCCTGCAGGAGAAGATGAGTTGGTACATGGATACGGTGGAAGTACATTTGATCAATAGTATCAGTACCGCTAGTAGCGGTTTCTTTGCTGCGCTTGGGTCGTTGAAAGAGCTGCAGAATGAAGCAGAAGAAAGTGTGGCCAAGATTCAAAGCCTGCGTGATGACTTGCGGAGGCTGGACGAAGAAGTCGCGCTTTCAGGATTGGAAGTGGCAGCTAAACGACGGCGGAGAGAAAACGTGCGGAAGTTGAGGACCGCGACAGCACAGGTGCAAAGAGTCGTCGAGAACGTCAAGAAGGCGGATGAGCTGGTGGATGAGGGAGCATACGATGATGCAGCGGACCAGATGGGCAGGGTTGGGCGACTGATTTGCGGCCAACAGGAGCCGGGAGAAGGGGCACAGGAATTGATTGACCTACGACCACTGAAGGCCTTGCAAGGATTGGATTCTGGACTGCAGGAACTTCAACTACGGATCGGGACGGGATTCGCACAGCGCTTCACGGCAATACTCATGGACGATCTACGACAGCACGTGGAGAAGGTCCCCCCAGGCGATACCATGAAACGCTGGTCGCGACAAAGAGGCGTGTCACCTACATACATGGAGACGAACGATAGTTTCCGCAAAGACCTTTTGATAGCCTTGAAAGGCTTATCCCGAGCAGGGCACACGGCACCTGCGACTGCAGCTTACAGAGAAGCTGTGAACAGAGAGATGAAAGCCATCATCCGGAGGTATCTACCAAGCAGTAGCGATGACGATACGGACAGCATGGTCTCGACCTCGACGAGGGGAGGCAAGCACGTGTCTCAACAAGAGAAGAGTAGCATCCTAGCTCGTAACCTGCGCACTCTGGATCCCGAAGATGCTGAGAGGCTTCTCATCAATGTGTACACTTCAGTAGGAGAAGCGCTTCGGAGAGTGTCGACACAGACCAAAATTTTGCTGGACGTTACCAGCAGCATGTCAGCACCAGAGCCCAAGTCGCCTCCACGATCTACAAATCCATCAACGCTGGACGAGCAAGTTGCCCACGGGTCATCGACTGCGCCGCCGAAGATAACAGTGCAAGAAGAGCTATCGCAGGCCCTGGACATGTCCAGCCTCCTGGGTCAAGCTGTTGACACTGCTCAGACGCAAATCACAAGAGTGCTGAAGGTCCGGAACGAGCAGTCTGTACGCCTCCCAAAGGAGTTCTTCCTGCGATACTTCACGCTCAACCGTCTCTTTGCCGACGAGTGCGAGGCGGTGAGTGGGAGGGGTGGCAATGTCCTCAAAGGTATTGTCAACGCCCAGATCTCCGGCTTCGTGCAGGTCTTGGGCACCGCCGAAACAGAGCGCACTGCTGGGGTACTGGATAGGGACACTTGGAATGCCGAGGATTTCACGGAAGAGCACAGCACTAAGCTACAGCGCATTGTGGCCTCGATGAGTTCCGATCCACCTGAATGGACGAAAGGATCAGCACCTCTCTGGGAAGAACCAAGCTCCCATCCACCCGTCAATGGTCAGACGCCCGCAGCCAACGGCACAGATGTTGCTATGTCAAATGGTACCACGCCAGGTGCGAAAAAGGAGATAAGACCTGCCTACATTGACGAGACCCGCTATATCCTCGTCTCCTCTGCCGCTTCTCTCCTGGGCTCAATTGACGCCTTTCTCTCCCTCACAGCGGCTTTGCCCTCCATGACGCCCCAGATCTCGACGAGCCTCCTCGATGTCCTTCGAACATTCAATTCTCGCTCCTGCCAATTGATCCTTGGAGCTGGCGCCACTCGCAGCGCAGGCCTGAAGAATATCACAACGAAACACCTCGCGCTCGCAAGTCAGGCGCTCAGCTTCATCATCGCACTAGTACCATACATGCGCGAATGTGTCCGCCGACATGTACCGGCTGGCCAGAATGGAATTCTCGCCGAGTTTGACAAGACCAAGCGGCTCTATCAAGATCATCAAAGTGGCATCCACGACAAACTCGTCGAGATCATGACCTCTCGGTCATCGGCACATGTGAAAGCCATGAGTGCCATCAACTTCGACGATGCATCCGCAGGTGGTGATGAGAAACCATCGGCGTACATGGAGACGTTGACCAAGGAAACGCTCACGTTACACCGCGTTCTGGGCCGTCACCTTGGCGAGATCGACGTGAGCATGATCATGCGGCAAATCTTCTCTGGCTATCGAGATCAGTGGACCAAATCATTTGGTGATGTTGATGTCAAGACAGAAGCTGGCGAGAAGAGGCTCCTGAGAGACGCGGAAGCATTTGAGTCGAAGTTGGGCAAGGTTGAAGGCTTTGGCGACATAGGAAAGGAGATTGTTGCTGTAGTGAAGTCGAAGATCTCTGTCGAGGAAGATGGACACGAAGAGCGCAAGCCGAAAGCCACCAATGGAAATGGAGATGCAGCAGACGTGAACGAGGAGAAGAAATCTTAGCATAGCCATTATGTCCAACATTTTCGGTTCATTCGATCACGATTCTTTGCTATGGAAACTTCTCGAGACAATTCAAATGACGCTGGACAAGCATTACTTCGGCACTGGGCAATTCGCAACGTCACCAGAGGTCATCTCGTCGGATCGGGGCAGTCTCCAATCTCTCCAGTTGCCCATCTAGACTTCAGGTCCATCGTCTCTCAGCACCCACAGCAGACTCAGCAGAGAACACGCTGGTTGTTTCTAGGAATCAAATATCGCTCCGTAAGCGGGAATCTTCCGCGCTTCCATCTGATAAACCACCTTTTTCGTCACTTTCGGATTCGAAATGACAATCACAGCTTCAGCATTTAGTTCCCTGACCAACGAAAAGGTCAAATCATGAAGTTCCCGCGTTTGGACCTTGGTGGTATCGATCATGACGGCTTTGTCGTCGGCTGCGAGCACTGCTTCTATGATTTGGGGACCGTATGTGGTTTCCGGAGATCGAGCAGACCAGAGGACTCGACATTCCCATTCGGGGTGGACCTGCAGGAAGGACAAGACTGGTCCGATTCCGGAACCGGTAGCCACGAAGACGCAACGTTTGAAGAGGAGAGCTACGCGCGCAACGCCCAAGGTCGGGGCGCCGCGGGTCCAGAGATACTCCGGGGCGACTTTGGCTTGAATGAGGTTTTTCGTCCAGTCTCCCGCGTTGGACACGATGACACTGTAGCCCTTTCCGCGATGGGGCTCGGGGATCGTAGCGAAGCCGTGGTTTTCGAGAAGAGGGGTGGTGGAGAGGCGGATACCGGCGCACGTGCTCATTCTGCGGTTGTGTTCCGGGAAGTGGATGCGTGCTGCGTGAGAAGAGAGTGTTGTGCGAGTGATTCTGCGGCGGCGCAAGCGAAGCCAGGGATAGACCAGCATGAGGGAGATTCCGACGAGGAACCAGAACGCAGGAAGGGTGAGGAGAATGTAGCCGGTGCTACGTGCTGTTACTGCCGCCTTCTCACGAACGAGCATGGAAATCTGTGCCCACACGACCAGGACAGCGAGCCAGCCGCCGAAGCGATGGGACATCTCCCACACGTCGTGGTACTTGGCCCGCATGTATGGCATCGCCATGATGAGGAGGACGAGGAGGTCCAGTAACATGATCCCCGTCAGAATGTTGATCGCTTTGCCGACTCGGGCTCCACTCTGCCACTGGGCCGGAAGCAATGCGCAGAAGAGGATGTACCACAGGAAAGCGCTAATGCCCCCAGCAGAGTGCACGCCGCCCTGGCTGTAGACCTTGGCCGCGTGGCGCCGGATGGAGAGAGGCGTCCAGTGAGGCAAGGCGCAGCAGATCCGGAAGAAGAGGTTGATGGCGTGCTCGTGGCGAACGGCAGTGGCGATGAATAAGTTGACAGCTACCGCGGTAGCAGCATCTCCGTAGGTGAATGACTTTGGATCGCGGACAGTCTGGAAGATCCGGATGAAGATAGCGATGAGGTTTGCCGCCAGGACGATCGTGTGTAGACGACGATAGACGGAGAAGTATTCGTACCGGATCTTGTTCCAATACTGCGAGCCCTCGAGACCAGGCAACGGATTCTCCTCGCGTAGGTCTTGCAGGTCCTCTGATGTAGCAATGCGGTCGTCGAACTGATTGCCGACCCTGGCCTCCGCGCTCTTGTCAATCTCGGCCTTGTTGCAAATAGTATCGGGAGGATCCTCTGGCACGCCAGCGATCCGAGGAAGCTCTACTGCGGAGTCCTGGGCCTTGAAGCGGTCGGAGGCTGCATCTGTAAGACTCGGCTCGTGAAGGGTGGTGGCTCGAGGAAAGGATGCACGAGATGCCTGGCTGTAGGCGTGTTGACCTCTGGATCCGGGATCGTATGAAACTTCCTCGAGCTCGATGTCGCCATTTCCTAAGCCAGCCTCGAGTTGAGAAGGGTCTACGTCCACCCGTCTATTCCCTCCCCAGATTTGGCCGGTGACAGGCCGTGAAGCAGTTCGAGACGGCTGCAGCGGACCGTTGGTGGGTGTCTCGCTGGGCTGGACGTTCAAGTCTACAGCATCCGACATGTCTTAAGAAGGTGTTTCGTTCAATTTGATTTCCAAGCGCAAGTATCCAAAATGACTCCGTAGCGGGTGGAGCGGTGGGGCGGAAAGTTTTCGAGGCAGATGCAAACAAACTCCCAACGAGTTTGGACAGACTCGAGGATTTTTCCGCACTCGAGAGAATTGTGCGGCAGCTGGAACAAATTCCGAAGTGCGCAGGCTCTTCTTGTCTCGCTTGGGAGGGTAAGACTAGCAAGGTGTTGTGTCAACAATTGCTCGACAGTCGCTGGGACGGAAGAGATTTGCTTAAACATATAAACTAGAAGAGAAGACTCGAAGAGAAGTGAAGATCCCAACAAAAGTCACGATTCTAACAAAAGTCACGATTCCAACAGAAGTGAAGATTCTTACAAAAGTGAATTGATTAAAGGGCCTAAGCCGTCCCCGAGCCTTCCGGGCTAGGAATAAGCTTAGCGCTAGCGCAAGCGATATAAACATGTGAATGTGTACGTAGAGACATCGCCTATAGCTGAAAAAAACGTCTCTTACTACCCTAATCGCTATGATTGCAGCTCGTAAGGCAGTTTCAAGACTACCAGACTAAGTAAAAGGCGTCTTTGTTACGGCCGAACAATAGTGTCTTTGTATCGAACTTCCCTTTATAGGCTTAAGGGAAAGTAGCTAATAGACAAAGCGAGGCGACATTCCGCTATATCGACTCTACGTTAACTAGTATATACTATACTTTGAGGCTCTATATATACCTTTCTAGTCTTACGCCTTATTACGAGGTATTCCTTAATCTTCGTAAAAGGGAGGCCTACTTTCGCAAACTCTCTTCTCTTACGGATTCACGTATAGAGTATTTACGCGTAGAGTAATTTATATATAGTATAGTTACCTATCGAGTATTTACCTGTCGAGTATTTAAGTATAGGATATTCACGTGTCGAGCACTTACCTATAGAATATTAACCTATCGAGCATTCACTTATCGAACGGCACACTCTCTACGCTCGAGGACTTTTAAGACCGCCCCGTCCTGCAAAAGATTAAGGTCTGCAAAAACATCGACCTGCACTTTCAGATCTGGCCAGAGCGCTGTTACGACTCCAGAGTACAGACATCAATCGGCTCCAGAAAGAAAGCCTCTCTCGTATCCCGACACCCCTCCGCAGCGGACAAGACCATCCATGAGCGCAGGCGCAGGGAAAGCAGAGATTTCCATCCAGTGAGTGCCCTGATTGAGCCGGCGTTTGTCGGGTACGTCGGAAAATTGAGTTAGCGAACATTTGACTGACATTTCTTCCCAGGCCGACGGGAATGCGGACCAAGACTCCTCCAGAAGGCCTTCTTCACACGGTAACTGCATCCTCAGCACCTGCTCCCAAACCTAAAGACATGAACATCGCCTCGTACGCCCTATCGGGCACCTACAACCCCGACAAGCCCATCTTCATCGACGCCGAGAAGCCGAATAGAACCATATGCAAGAGACGGGCCGAAGAGTTGGTTGCAGGTTTGGCGGGTGTCTTCGAGCCGGGAAGCACAGTCTGCCTCCATCTCCCGAACGACATTCTCTACCCAGTCCTATGTTTGGCGATATGGGCCTCGAAGTGCCGATGGACGGGGACCAATCCCAAATACCAGCCACCTGAGCTGGAGCACCACTTTAGAGCATCGGATACCAAGTATGTCGTCACTGGCGTCGAGAATCTGGCGAACGTGCGCGCCGCTGTCGACCATAGCGGCACTGGCGCGGAGATCGTCCTCTTCACCGACATCCTCCAGCAGCAGCAGCCATCGGCAGGCCTGAACTGCTTCCGAGAGCAATTCCACCAGTCCGGGGCAGTTGTCTATCGTTCTCTCCATGATCTGCAACGCCCGAGCTGTGTTGACGAGTTGCACCGGAAGCTGATGTTCATCGACTCGGACTCGATCGCTTCGCTGATGAGCACCTCGGGCACCACGGGACGGCCGAAAATGGCGGCTCGATCACATCGCGCCATGGTGGCTGAGAATCGAGCGACCATGGACAACCACGAGGCCAAGGACTACGAGGTTCGACGGCTCTACAGCACTCCGATCTTCCACGCCTTCTCGACCGGCGAGATGGTCATCAACAGTCTTCGCCAGGGAGTACCGTCATACTTCATGCATCGATGCGACCCGTCGTTTCCAAAGAAGATTGCGGACTTTCAGATCACGGAAACCTTCGCTCCTCCACCGATGCTCTTGAGCCTTCTGAACAATCCGGGATGCCATACGTTGCTCCGCTCGCTGCGGGCGATCTACAGCGGAGGTGCGCCTCTAGCTCCCGAGCTCCACGCTCAATTCCTGGGCATATTCCCCACGCCGCCACCTCGCATAGTCCAGGTGTGGGGTATGACAGAAGGCGGCTGGTTCACGACATTCAAGTTCCCAGAGACGGACGAGACCAACTCCTGTGGGCGTGCATTGCAGGGACTGGAAGTGATGATGAGTGCGGAGGATCGGAGCAAGCTCGACGACGGCCAGGAAATTGGTCAGCTGTATGTTCGCGGACCAGGACTGATGTCACGGTATTTTGGAAATCCCGAAGCAACAGCGGAGACGTTCCGTGGGGATGGTTGGCTGAGAACCGGTGACGTGGGATATGTTCGGGAGGGCAAAGTCTACCTCGTCGACCGGGTCAAGGACCTCATCAAAGTCAATGGCTGGCAGGTATCACCGGCAGAGCTCGAAGACGCCCTGCTGGTCTCAGAGCATGTGAAGGATTGCGGAGTGATTGGCGAGGGGCAGGGGACCGACGAGCATCCCAAGGCGTTTGTGGTGCTTGCAGACGAGGCGGTCGGCAAGATTACATCCGCGATGATCAAGGAGCATCTTCGCAGTCGGCTGGTCAGCTACAAGGTCAGCCGGACCGAAGTCCGCTTCATCGACACGATCCCAAAGAGCGCCAGCGGGAAGATCCTGAGGAACGAGCTGCGACAGTTGTCAGAGCAGCACAACAAAGGGTAACGACAGTGCAATGCTCAGATTGTAAGCGTTCAATGATGGCAGGCATGGTCAGGTGGAAATGGCGTATTTTGAGGGGGCAGTACATGTAGCCGGCTGTTGGATAATTTGCACTGGACTGCCGGGAGTCGCATTTGGAAGGCAGAGCTCTATGGGAGACGGGCAAAGGCCATTGGGAGCACAATGCGTTGACGAGTGATCTGGGAGGTCAGTGTAGGAAGAACGACGAGCACCAGAGTCTGTTAGCATTGGCATCCATTAATTGCATTGATGTTGATTAACAATGAAAGGAGGAAGAATGAATGAATGAATGAATGAATGGAAAGTGAGGTGTCGTCTCAAATTCTCATGTCGTCATCCACGCTAGTTAGGATTAGTCAGCGCCCACACGCCGTCAAAATTCCCTCCGCAACTCCCCTTCTCTTCCTTTTTCCTTCTTCTTTTCTCTCCTCACGCGCCCATTTAGACAGTGCATCTCAGCAGACATCCGGCTCCGGCGTCATGCTGGGGCCGGCTTTGGTGTCTTCCATTGTTGCTTTTGCGATTCAGCGGCGCGGAGAGGGAGACGGTGGGCACCATAAGAGCTGGCTACGCATTGTTTTTTCTTTTTACAATTGGTTGTGTAGACGGTGTCAGAGGTGCCGGACAGAATCACTCGAGTGGGAGTGTGAGTGTGAGTGTGAGAAGAGCTGTGATGGATTCTCTCCAGACGTGCGGGACAAGGGCAGGAGGAAGAATATGAACAGGCGTTGCTCGCTGCTGGAGAAGGTGGCCGACCAGGCCAGGGAAGAGCTGCGCGCAGATGTGACAGGGCAGAAAACCTCTTCCGGAGAGCATACTACATGTAGGAGAGTATCCTCATAGTCTCGAATATCTTCTGGCTATCGCCTAGCCCGGAACACCCCCAAATTCTTGCTCCATGCGCTCACCTACCCTCAGACTCCTAGTGCCCAGACTTCTAGGACCCATCGTTGGCGAGATCCTGCGCATGGCTCACCATCTGCTGCACAAACTCCCCCATCCGCACCGCCTCCCAATGCCGCCCGTTCCTCTCCAGAACAGCCGCAGCATCGCTCAACGCTTCCACCGCCAGATTCGTATTCTCGCTCGGTCGATTTCTCTGCCGGGAGACGAGGGCACGGAAGGCGTCGTAGTCCTGATCTCGACGGAAAGCCGTGAGGAGTTCGAGGTGTGTCGTGTCGAGGAAGTGGACGAAGGCGAGGTTGACGTTCTAGGGAAGAGGTCAGTCATTTTCCCTTCCTATTATGTTGTCCCCCCAACAGAGAAGAGCATCTTTCCCGACAGAGAAGAGCATCTGTCTCCCCCCTTATCCGGCACTGATAGAGCAATGGGTCTCGTGGCGACGCGACTCGAGGCAAAAGGGAGACATACCTGTGCTTCCTGGTACAGATTGCTGAAGAAGAGCCGGCCATATGCGAGTTTGTAGTAGTAGCGGAGGTCCTGCTCTTGGCACGTATTCCGGTTCGACGACGAAGCCATATCGGCGTAGAGCTGCTGCGGTGCGGCTGGACTTCGCCCGATAACCTATGGTTCGGGGGGGAGTGTAGTGATGCGAAACCTCGCGTGGATCTCTGCAAGTGTTATTGAATGAGAGTAGAGTGATGCTTCTCAACAAGAGCCAAGACTTGAGACCTGCATGTGATTCTGTGAGTTATGAGACAGTGGCTGCGCTGCGTCAGAGAGTGGAGCGGCACATGTTTTGAGTAATTACGTCATAAAACTGAGCCTATGCATGTGAAAGCAAGCAAGCAAGCAAGCAAGCTGCCTCTATCCTCATTCTTCTGCTTGCTGCGCATGAGTGCTATCTTGATGCCGCTGGAACCATCTTTCAGAGATTCCTTTGTTTTTGCACAATCTACCAGCTGATCCGCGAGACTGCACGCCTCCAAGATTCACTGCATGTCTCCAAGATGCGATGCAGGATGGGTCTTCATGATTCTCATGTCCTCATTCAGCTTCTTCGGCATGTATGCGGCTCTCGCCGTCTCTTGCGTCACTCCCCCTCGCATGCGCTCTCTCGACGGCTTGCAGGCACAGAAATGTCTTGTGAAGAGATACTTCAACAGGTACGAGCTCTTCATCGCTTCCTCGAGTTCACATTCCTCCCAGCTCCTACCCTCGGGCGGCCTTCCGACTTCCCTCTGTCGCCGGTCAAGATTCCAGGCAGGTAATCCTCGTCCATCAACCCCCTCTCCTTCTGCCTCTTTTCCTGTCTCACTGCGTTCTGGTATTCCTTTTGATCTTCGGCAAGCATGAGCTCATGTCCCCACCCGTCCTTGCCACCGCCCTGGATCCGGCCATTCGCAGATCCATGCACGGGCTTCGGGACGCTGTAGCGGCTCCCTCTCGTGTTGACCTGGAAGTTCTTCTTCAAGTGCAGCTTGAAGACGCCCTTCTCATCGGTGGAACAGCCGACCTTCAGCATACTCGGCTGCCCGCAGCGTGGACAGAACTGCTTCGTCATGTCCTTGGTCACGTTGAAGCACGCATGACACCGGAGGACGTGCGACTTGACATTCTTCACCCGGTACATGGACGGCGAGAGAAGGTTCAGGTTGATCTGGATGATGACGTTCTGCATGGCGAAGTCGGTGGTCAGCACGGCCACCTCCATCTTGCCTTGCTCTTGCGCCTGAGGTGTCGAGTCTCCGGCATCCTCAGCTTGCTTCTGGTTCAAGTTGGCGGGAGTGATCCATCCCTCCGAGTCCGAGTCGGAGTCATCTGGACTTTCTGTCGAGTCTTGGTCAGGTTCGGCTTTGCCTGTTGCACGCTCGTCCAGAGCCGTAGACGCGCGCTTCGCATTCAGTTCCGAGACACTCTCAGTCTCGACGTTCGCACTCCCATCCTTGACTGGTCCCGAGCCATCCATCCTAGGTTCTCCTCCAGCAGGATTGGCAGACGCATCCTGTTCAGGCTCCGTTTCTGATGAGCCGGTTGGTGGTGCGCGGCCATTCAACTCCTTCTGTCCCGGTACGTTACGTAGTCTCCAGTCTCCGCCGTTCCGTTCGCACTCCAGCTCGTATGTCAGGGCAATGATCTGGATATCAGGCTTACTGAGAACTGCCAAGTCTCCGGTCTTCCGCGCAAAGTCGGTGACAAACTTGATACTGTTCGGGCTCGGGGTACGGATGTGCAGGAATGGCTTTAATGTTGTCTCTACGCGAGACCGCGTGGCGGCATCTTTGATTTCCGAGAGGATTGCAGGGACGGTGAAAAGGCTTTCGGCCTTGGCAAGCAGCGTGGACACCGAGGGCTCGTTCTTGATGATCGCTCCCGTGTCCAGAACGATAGTGTGTATCGGCTTGTCCATCGTGCTTGAATTCTGCGACATCTCGTCCGAAGGTCTGGATCGTTGTCTGTCGATCTCGCCGCTGGAGATTTCTGAAGTGCAGAGTGCGGCCGGAGCCGAGATACGCCTTACCTCATGCGGTAGGTACGCACATGTGAGGCTGCGAGACTAACAATGGTGGATGAATGGAGAATGCCGGCATCCAGTACACGGTAAAGTACCTAGTCCAGTCTTCAACAGGAACGTGACTCGTTTGATCATAGCAGCCGATCCTACTTTATCACCGTGTTATACTCCATGGCCGCATGCCTGACTCAGCAAGAGCCCGTTGTTTGCGCCTCAGGCAGCATCTCGGCCCAGCCCTCCCGTCGCATGCTCAAGCCACATCTCCTCTACATCTCCTCTACATCTCCTCTACATCTCCTCTACATACATGTACCTGGTCCTAGGCCTGCAAGCCATTGGCCATGTATCTCAGCTGGCCGCATGCCACCTCACATCGTATACGGAATCCTCCACGGCATTTGCTTGCCAGTCGTGCCCAGCAAATCTCACGTCCGGACAAGACAGAGGGGGCCAGAAACAAGAGAACAGGAGCCAATAACGTCAGTCCATCGGCCTATCGCTTTATGGAAAGCTCAGAAATGACCCAAAGCATCGACTGGTCCTGCGGTTCGCCCTCCACAAACAAGACAAACACAGCATGCCAGTGCTGGCCAACCCCATGGCACGGGACGCTCGATCCGATGCGCGGCAAGTATCCCAGTGCTGTCAGGTAGTGAGCGCAGTGTGCGCTGGCGATTCTACAACATCGTCCGCCGAAAACAACCTTCCATTTCAGAGCGCCGGAGCAAAGGCCAGCGAGGAGCTTGAAGGTCGATAATCTTCTCACTAAGATCTGGCTCGAAAACCAGATACAACCTCGCTGTTGTCGGAGGGCCACATTGGTTGGTCGACAGCCTCGCTAAAGTGGATTACGATGGCAGGCGTGCAATGTGCGATCTATTCACCTGGCTGAGCGGCAGGACCTACGTCAGCGGAAGGAATGCCGCGTCGGCGCAGATATGAAGGTGGGCAATTCCAGCTCCGTCTTTTATCATCTTTGCATCATTCCCGGCAAGTTGAGAATGTGAAGACAGTGTGTGCGTCTGGGTGGAATCTCTATATACCACGAGCATCACGGACATGGCAAGCATACCAGCTTCGATCAGAGAGTCTCCAAAGCTGACCAGTTTCGACCAGCCCACCTACCTTTCCGAGATCAAAGACTTGAGACAACATGAGAACGCAGCGGGTCAACAACGATCTCGACGAGGGCATTGGAATCCATCCAGCCTGCCAGAAGATCATGTCGCCTCAGAAGCTTTGTGCTTCCGCCATGACCGCGGCACTACGCGCGTGCTGCAGAGCAGACCTTCCAACGTCCACCACTACAAATCCTACAGTATCTACTACATCCGTGGCAAATTCCTCGCTGTACCCTACGATGCTTCGCTCAAGCAAGAAGACTCATCAGACGATGAGGGTGATGGAACTGCTTTCGAAACGTGGCAGCCTTTGACCTTTCGGCATCTGAATCTTGGTGGTTGTGTCCGCGGCCTCGCCTCGTACGTCGATATTCGACTGCAGGAATCAAGAATGCAGACACAACCGGCCGACAGAGTGTGGATGGAATACTTTCTTCCAGACCGATATAATCCCCAACCTCAAGAAGCACGCCGTCGAGGCCTGGTGGGAAAGCTTGCACTGATCATTGATCTCGCAGCAACGTCGCAAGTACCTGAGCAGTGGAAGCCAGCTCTTACCATACACCATCACAGATTCAATTAGAGTATCGCGGGAACAAAGATACCACGTGGCGCGCAGGTACGGGATGTCTGTCAAAGGGGCACGAGACACAAGTTTAACATACTGATCTCATGCCAGGGCGCGATCACAGAGGCCTCGTGGTCTCTGTGTATCTGCACCCAGATGGCTCTTCCAGAACGGACCTTGAACAATACGGAGCTGGTGCCCTAGGCCCCATTCTGCGCTAGCATTTAGGCTTGCAGATATATCCTGTGAATCTTCATCCAGCTCATACGTACGGCCGCTTCATGACGTGGGCGGCTGTCTCTTCGTGCGATTGGCTCTCTATCCGGAATGATACCATCTGCGTTGCCGTCGAATCACGCGATGGGGTCGTGTGCTCACGTTATGCGCTGCCCGCTCATTTGAAGCAGGAATTTCCCAAATGAATTCCCCTTGGCGACTGGCGACTTCTTGCAGGGACTCCCTTGATCCCCGGATCCTGGGTGGATGGATGTAATGCTTTTCCGAGCGCTGCATTCGATATTCTTCGTCTTCCTGCTAGACTGGACTTCCGTGCCGACTTGCTCAGTTTCGGTAGACTGCGCATCTCCTTCGAGCTCAGAGAATAGACCTGGCGCGATTTTCAAACATTTCAAATTCCTCCCATTGCAGAGTTCGCCAGTGGGAGCTGCATTTCGGCTGTCGCGGTGCTCACCTCGCGGTTTTAGATCGTCGAGCAAGCGTTCTGCAGCGGACCGAGTCACCGCGTAGCCTAGTGAGCAGTGCGGAGAGGTGACTCTGTGGATGATGCGGTGTCGCTCCGGTATACTATGTTGTCGAAGAAGTGCTCTCGTATCGGGTTGAAGATCTGCCATCTTCGGCACTGTAGGATCTGGCACCAGGATTTCAGGCATTCCTGCAGAGACCGAGCCACACTTGCCGAGAGACAAGATATGCCATGATCCATCCGGTATGCACCAATAGCTGCTCAAGTCCGGCAGGTCCTCGATCTGACTCGCAAAGCCGGTGTATCGTGCTGAAAGCTCACGAACGGCAGCCGCTGCAGCAGGGATTTGAGAGCTGCGCAGCTCGACATCCCAGTCGGCGGAGTCTTCGATGATCAGCGCAGTTTCCACGCCAGAGTCGAGGAACCATTCCAGAGCGTTGATGTGTCCTAGATGGTACAGTGCGTCGGCGCGGGACGAGTTGAAGCCCAATGTCAGTCGCACAGTTTCCACTTCTGAATCGCCTCGTGGCGGTTGTGACGGAGTGGACAGGTTGATATGGCTGATGTTGGCTGCGAAGAAGAGGTCCTTTAGACTGGCGGGGTCCTTTTGAGAGACAACAGCTATGGTGCCGAACTGAAAGGTCTTTTTAGTACTAGCAAAATGGTAGATGTACAAGCTACAACCTACCCCAAGTGTTGAATTGGCAGGAGTTGGTGATTTCAACGCTCCTACTTCGCCGACGCCTGATCCCTTGACAGTGTAGGCGGCCTTCAATGGAAGCTTGTGTTGTAGACTTGCGTAGTAGAAGAATCCAGTGAGCGTACAAAGAACAAATAGAGCAAGGGACGAGAGGTAAACCGCAAGTTTCCTACTCGACGCCATCAGAGGCCGGGAGAGGCTGTCGAGCGAGGAAGAGAGGAAGTCGCAGTAGCCGTTTTGAGTATACGCCATCAGCGGGCCCACAGTGGGTCGTTCGTGCCGGGATCTACGAAAAGGGGGATTGCGTGTATGCTGTAGGGGCTGGCCGGTGCCCACAGCCTCTGTCTGGACGCGGAACAGGCAGGCCAAGCATGCGGAGCAGCTTCCAGCGTCTTCGCACAGCGCAAGATCATTGTCTTCCCAAGAATCCTAGCGGAAACCGGGGCAGCCGCGAGTCGGATAGCGCGAGATGAGTCGTAGCAGCCCTCGAGATGACAATCCGGTGTGCGAAGACGCTGCAAGGGCTAATATCGATCCTCACTGCAACTCCATGCTCGAAGGTATCTCTCTTTCCTGCTGACACAGAGCCTTGGTATCAATAGGGAACAACGGCTCCGTGCTGTACTGTCCATACTTGTTCTGAACACCGTTCTTGGGAACTTTGGGTAGAACACATCATCCAATGCGCACTCTTCAGCGAACTCCAGTGTCACGTGGCCTGGTTTGTGACGTTGAGAGGCCGTCTTGTGAATGGTTGCACCAAGTATTCTGTGATACTGCTCTCCGAGCATCCGCACAAGTCTATGCCAGCTTGATGTGCTGTCAGACTTCAGAGTGAAATCGTAAAACATCCATTCCAAGGGGTATCTAATCTTCATCCGAATCGTAGGCACCCAGGCCCAGGCCAGGTGTGGGTGCAGGCGCTGATGCTGGTGCGGTGGCAGTAGGCGGCATCGCTACGGCCGTATTGGCTATGGTTCCCTTTGAGAAAGCGGTCTCAGGCTTCTTGAAAAGTGAGTGATCCTTCTTCTTCTTGATCATTCGCTGGAACAAGGGTGCCTCGCACTTGGGCGCCGCATCTTTCTCGACTTCGATTTCTGCATCAAGCCGTCGAACCTTGTCTCCTGTTCCCGCCTGAAATGCCAGACGTGCCTGCTCTTCAATCTCTCTCTCCTCCCGTTCCGCCTCGTCGTCTTTCACCTCCTGCACTTCGGCAACGCCCACGCCATCCTTGATAGCTCTTTCGCGAGCAGCGTTACGGTGTCTCACGTCGTCTAATGCGTCCGCGATCGCCATCTCTGTCTTCGCATCCATCGTCTTCTTCTCCAAATCCTTCATGGCATCGCGCTCTTCCTCCTCCCTCGCGATGCGATCCAGGCGCTCCTCTTCCGTCTCTTCTGCCAACTTGGCCTCTCTCCATGGCTCGAAATTTCGCTTCGCACCCTTCTCGCACGTGTAGTCCATGTTCTTTGGATCGGTCTTGAAGGTGATCTCGGCGGAGCATCTTGTACAGCGGATGTAGAATCTGAAGATGGAGATGGCGTAGTATTTCTCATCGGTGGTCTCCTTGCGCGCGTTGAATTTGCGGCCTTTGTAGATGTATTCGCCGCACGAGGTGCAGCGCATGCTGAAGGGAGCCATGAGACGGACGGTCTGCGACTTGTCTTTGGGGCCGGTCTTGGGACCTCGCCGTCGCTCGAGCTTGGAGGGATCGAAGTCCGGTGGGTAGTATTTGGTGAGGACCTTTCGCTCGGACATTTCGGCGGCCGGTGTACTTTATGCTGTGTAGTTGGTGCGGCGTAGTTGGTGCGGAGTCGAGATTGAAGGCAAGAAGTCAAGAAGTCGGAGGCACAGGAACATCTATCTGATGGCACGTGACTGTCCGGGAAGAGCTTAGCGCATATGTCTATATTCCTGAGGTGTCGAGATCTCTTTCCCTGTCTCTCTCTCTCTCTCTCTCTTTCATACCTCAATTCTTCACCTTCTTCCTTTTCCGTTATTCTCATTCAGCGACACGCCGATATGGAGTCGAGATGAGCGCCTCGTGTATCTGCACCTGTTCCAGGCTGACAATAGTTACACTGGCATCATGTCCACTTTACTACGACATCACATGGGTCCGGCTCAAGTTCAGCAGAATGGATCCGCCCCTTTCACGTTGGCTGAAGCACCAGTAGAACAATCGTGGACCAATACACCGCGAGCTACGGAATCGGTATATACGGCTGGCAGAGTCCTCGCCGCTGCGGCCTCTGGCAAGCTGGCGTGGGCATGGTCATGTACATCTGGAGCATTAGATCCACAGAATATGTCGGTTTCTGGGAATGATATCACCCGAATTTGGGACAGTTGTGCTTGCCAACGCGCGAGCTTGTCGAGAAGATGGCTCATGCATTTTGCCAGGCGATGGCAACACCACTCCAATGTTCTACAACTTCGGGGAGGACACCGAGGTGCTCCACACCAAATCCTCAATCCGAGGAGGCACTACTGAGGTGAAGTACATCGAGGAGCACTGTCGAGGTGAAGTTCACCGAGGGGCACCGTTAAAAAGCCTTCACTTTCCCTCTATGTTTATGTTTGCTCTGCTGCCTCTGACAATGACTAGCAGCTCGATAATATGAAGCCTAAAGCAGTGCCAAGCCGGTCAGTAAAGACGTCTCGTCCTCATACACCTTCTCCTTGGCGCCGGGCTGATTGGCATCGCATTTCCATATCCGCCCGCAGAGATCCGCAACCCAAACCCAGCCGCCTTGTCTGTCCAATGCAAGCCCGATCGCCTCGCCGAAGCCTTCTGCTATGATTTCGCGGCCAAGAATCTCTTCCGCAGCAGGCCCAGAGTCGACGGCGTGGTCGACAAGGTGCTTTCGATTCAGCGTATTGCCAAACGGGAACTCTCCTCGATCCGTCCAGTATAGCACCCCGGAGCCCTCGTCCATCTCCAGGTCGATAGGCTCCGGCAACCTCTCTGCGACAACTTCAACATCCGGCCTCGACGCTGCTGCTGCGCCTGCCGACAGTTCGATGTTGGCGGAGAATATCCGTCCCGCTCCACTCTTCGGCCCCCCTTTCTGCGTCCAAAAGATCTTTCCGAGCGTTTTCGAGACGGCGATGCCAACACACCATCTTGTCGCATCCCTTCGTTCTTCCTCGACTCGCCAATCTCCGGTTTGAATCAAAATCTCGTGTGCCGATCCATCGACTTTACAACGATGTACACGCATGCCCTCGCGATCGCAGAAGTACAGAGTCTCCGCTTCTTCGTCCAGGACAATTTGCTTCGGTGTGTTGATGGCGCCCGGAGGCAGCAAGGATCTCGCTTCCGATCCATCCAGACGGGCGCAATGAATCGAGCCGTCGTTCTTGCCCGGAGTGCCCATGTTGGTCCAGAAGATAAGCCCTTGCGACTTGCTAATAGCGATACCGTCTGGCATGTAAAGGCCTTCCAATATTGTTCTCGGAGCCTTCGTTGGAGTTTCGAGATCCAGATATGATATGCTGCCGCGGTGGGTCATGTCCTCCCAGCTCTGCTCGCTGAGCGGGACGGAGGGCTTGGCATGGTAGATGCTAAGAAAGTACAGTCGATTGTATAGTGCCATGATTGCTGGAATTTGGATCGAATGTTGGGAAGAGAGTGCGGAGCAAAGAGAAGACGAGAGGCCTGCAACCTCAACTACATCCTGATCTTACCGCCTCTCAAGCGACCTTGGATCGGACTGTTGCGGCAGGGTGTTATTCGGGGTGCATCCATATTTGCATCTGACAACGGATCTAAACCAAAGCTGGTCAGTCTAAGAGCCTTTCACGGCGCTCGACGTGAACACAAGCTCGGACTTCGGCCTTTGCACAATTCCTGCATAATCCAGTCGCGAGACGTCAGATTTGGCCAAAGGACTGAAATCATGCCCGTGGTTTGCTTGCGCGTCCAGTACGCGGATCTACACTTCGACTTCATCTCCACCAAATCTATCAAGCCGTCGCCCACATCCCGCCGCAGCCCTTCAGTGCCGCTCTTCTCGACGAAAGGTCATACGTTGTCAACGATGTCCTTGGTCTAGGTCTCTCCAAATGAGAGTTGGTTCTCATCCATACCCCTTTTCCACCCAGTGCGGCTGTCTCAAGATGGGACATGAAATAATCAAAACGGTCTACATTGCTCCCGCCGGCGGCATCACTTGTTGCATACCGTCCATCTAGAGCCCATCGCAATCCAGGCACACCGGTCGACATCGCAATATCCGCGACTTCTGCCGATGCAATCCCTCGGTTCATCAAGCTATATGCTTCTGCCAGGACGGCCGCCTGCCATCGATTCGCCCAGAAGCCTGGTGATTCTTTGTTGATGAGGTCGGGAGCTTTGTCGATGGCCTTGTAGAATTGCATGGCCTTTCGTACTGCATCTGTGGCTGTTCCAGTATGAGGTTCCACTTCTACCAGCAGTATCAGGTGTGGTGGATCGGATGGCTGACGGATTAGGACTCTGCTTGGATATGATCTGCATTCGCCAGCGAGTTTGGATGATGAATGCCCGACTATGAGGATGCAATTATTCTACCTTGGACAAATACGTCAGACCTGAACGCTACACGCGAGGCCATTCGCCTTTAAAAAAGTTTGCCAGATTCTCGTGTGCATTGGGCGCGGGTTCTGATATCACAACACGGAAGCCTTTGGCAAGGAAGAGTGTTGTCCAGCCAGAGCCGATCACGCTCGTACCGACCACTGTGATCTTCTTGATTAACTGTGCCATGATTTTGCCGTCTTCAAACTTCCGAACTTGATGAACAGCAAGCAAAGGTTGTGCTACTATCCCGCTAGACCACCAAATTCATTCAACTTCTTCTCGAGAAGCATTTGCACAAGCATCGTCTCGGCATTCGCGATGGAGCTCAAGGCCGACGAGCGAGTCGACGTTATGACAAAGCCACGTTTTAACGTTTCGTGATCGAGAGTGAGACATCGAGAGTTTGAGACAACAGTGAGAACTTTAAGAGTCTGGCACCCTGCAAAACCAACGCCAAAACTTCGGTGTTGGGGAAGACTCGCCCTTTGAGTGCATCTACGCAAGCCAAGCAGATACTGGTCCCTCGGCGTTAGATCCGAGCACCTCACCTCGAGGTCTTCCAGGTCCACCTCCAGAGTATTGCTGTTTGGATATGAGCTGTGACGGCGGCTTCTGCAAGGTCCGCTTCAGCTCCGAGTCGAACTCGCTGGAACATGATGTCGTCTGACCAGCGCAGCTGGCGTCGATACATATGGAACTTCTCCCGCGATGCTGCGGATGTGATCAAGGTTCAAAGCCTCAACTTGTCAGATCTTGGCTTCCTGCAGTCATCCTAATGGCTGGCAAGCGAGAGTCTCTATGGTGTAGATCTCAAAAGAACAAGATCGCCAGCAGCTTGTTGAGACACCTGCAGATGCCTAAGTCGTCTTGCAAGCCTTCCGGATGAAGTCCCTTGAGCGCAACGAATTCGGATCGGAAGATGTCGTGGAAATGGCGAAGAAGCGCAACAAGGATACGGTATACGTCGACATCCAGTGCTACGGATCAGATGGATACCACGCCGAACGACCCGGCTATCAGCGAATTGCCGATGCAGCATCCGCGTGCTCCCCTGTCAACGACAAGGCCGATGGCCTGCCCGAAGGAACAGCTGTGCTGACATGTCTTCATATTGCGGACCTGTTGACAGGAGCTATCGGCGTCCTCATCACTTTTCTAGCTATCTGTGATAGAGCAACCAAAGGTGAATCCTACCACCGTCACATCGCACTGGTCTCTGTCGACACAGCTCGGTTGAAAAAATAAGTCGGTCTCTTGTCACCGCAAGTCGTCAGGCGAGTTCAAGACAAATATCAGTCTCCTCCTATGAGACCGCATCATGTGGTCACGGTTCTGTGCAAGATCATGATCCGAGGTTGGAAACAGAACCCAGATGTTTTGGACAGGCCGGGGTACTTTGTTGAAATTGCAGAGACGCCATTCGGAAAGCGACATAACCTTCTGACACCAACCTGAAGATTACATAAGATTAATTCAAAGGCAGGCACCGCCGGCATGGAGAAGCGGAGCCGTACCCAATGGAGGACATTTGGGCAAGCTGGACCGGTTACCCATAGCATGATGAACGTCAAGATAATGTTGATCGAGTCTGAGATTGAGGCCGCTCACAGTGGTATGCATCGCTTGCGCCAGCTACAGCCGCCACCACCACCAGGAACGAAGCAACGCCTCGAATAGGCCTTGGAGCTGTAGCGAATTCACAACTCAAATCGTTACACGCAGTAGCAGCTTGCATGGCGAGAGATCAGCTGCAGCTCTGTACCTTACATCATGGCGATGCTTGTGGCATGTGCTCGGCTCAAGCCTCTGGAGATGTCTCCACTCATTCCAGCCCTGTGAAACGCTCGCCATGGCATCAAGGTGTAGGCGCCAGCTTCCATGCGAACACTTCTCTGGTTCTTCAAATGCTTTCGTCCAACTTTATCCCGGTCTTAATCCCCTCCTTGCTATTTCCGTTCTAAATTCCCCCTACTCTGGGCATCGCTTTCCGCTACGCAGGCCTTCGATTTCAACTGTACCGTGCCAGCTCTACAAAACAGGACCGAGATTCATGTCGTCCGGAAATCTAACGTCAGGAGAAGCCTATAGATTGCGTGGATATGCTTGACAACACTCTCTGTCTGCGTGTGTCAAGTCCTCAAGCTCAATCTTCCGGCTCCTCGAGACCAACACCGCCATCCTACAACGCTTCGACTTCTGAAACACCATCGGCAAACGATCTACCACCTCTGAACGAGAGGATTGGCTTGTATTTCGGAATCATGTCATGAGAAACGAAGAATACAGCAGAAACGCCCCTTTCAGCATGCTCTTCTGCTGCTTACTTGTCAGTAACTTATGCCACCTGGAGCAGTTCACGCTGTCGGCTGGAAGCTTTCTTTCCCGACTTTAATTAGTCCGTGGCTCTGACGATTTGGCGGCAGTATGTGCATAGGCAGGCAGTTTATATGCCTGAATGGAGGAAAGATGGGGACTGTGATCTAGAATGAGGGTGAGGCGAGCATGACATGAGTGAGCATACTGAACCTTTACGGCATGACATTGGTATATCTATACTGAACCTCTGCGAGCGAATACTGGAAAAGGAAGCCGCATACGAAGATCGAATTAAATTGGCTTGGAAGAATAGAACTTGGCATCAAACCTCCCTCACCGTCAACAGACTGCAGTCCGACTTGAGAGTCGCATCCAACTCCAAGCCACGGTCCAAAGCCAACGGCGTGGTATTTCCGCCCTGCTCGGGACCGGCCTTTGCCTTGGAAATTCTCGCTGGATTCCCTGCAACGACGAATGTAGTACTTAAAGCGGCGCCATCATCATCATCATCTCCCTGCTTAAGCTTTCTGTCCTTGAAGAGCTGGGGACTGGGTTCGGAATTCAGCCTCTCCGCAGCAGAATATCCTGAATTGAACATGTTTCCCAGATGAAGTCGATCTTGTGCAGAGCGGCTGTCGGCCATGTGAGACTCTTCATTGAGATGTCGTGGACGGTCGCCCTTGATATGGAACCTTGCTAGAAACGGAACCGAAATCATCCCCTCGCTTGGATCTCTTCTACGGTGGAGGCTAGCTAGGTACTGGGTTCAAAGTTGAGCCTACCAGCGGTCGAGCAGCCCGCAGTGAAGAGGCTTTCGAGACGATCGCGGCCTCGAGATGAGCGCAATGCCTTGTTTGGTGGCTCTGGATCGGCACGGACACATTCCTCGCCAGTGAGGCTGTGCTCGTCTGATGCCGCGTGAGACGAGGGATCTACCCAATCCCACTCTGAGCCTGGCTCTGTACGTCTTTTGGGTAAAGGGCTGGCTTCGTCGTTGGGGCTCTTTGGTGTGTCTACTCTTTGGCAGTCTACTTTCATCGGATTCGATGAGACGCCGGGCGCCAGTCTGTCCTTCTCGGGCACTTTGAGTGTCTTGCTCTGCCGCAGCTTCTTCTTCAGACGATCAAAGTACCGAGAACTGTTCTGAGTCGTGGTATCTTTTTCCATTGTGGGTAGTACAGGAATAGAGCTCTCACGCGGGGGCTGTGTGTCCTTGCCAATCGGTAGAGAGCCGTCGTGGACAGAGGTCATACTCATAAGGTAGGCGGCAGAGCTTTGATTATTTGGTACCTCGTTGATGTCGTAATGAAGACGGCGGAGAAGAGTCACTTCATCCATTGACGTCTCGTCCTTGCTACACCGATCCTGAAACGAAGGTAGTCTACCTCCAAGTGTTACCGGGGGCTCAATTGGAGGTTCGATCGGTGGTCCAGCGCCGTTGACGAGCCTCTCATACTCGTAGTTACCATTCGAATACGGGTCCAGGAAAGAAGGCGACTGGGGTGGCTGATAGGTCATCTCGAGAATCGGCTTGAGAGGAGCGCCAGCCGAAGGTGCAACTTCATCCATGAGATCCTCAGGTCGGGGAGATTCATTTGTGACCTGATGCGGCCGTGGCGGAGGAGGCGCTGAGTCTTTCTCAGTTTCAACATCAGGTTCGAATGGCGGACTGCGTCCTCCAGACAGAAGGCCATTGCCCTCGACTTCCGCCAAGGCTCCATTGGGAAGCTTTGGAGACTGCTGAATCGTATCTCTGTTCCTGTCCAGAGTCCCATTCCTTGCACTGGCCTCTGGAGATCGAAGAGCGCAATCCTGGTCAAGTATGACATCGGGCACCGCTGCCTCAGCGTTGTCTTGACTCGCAGACAATTCCTTCAATTTCCCCACCTCCTCCTTTCGCACCTGAATCTCCCTCCTCAGAGCCTTCAAAGTCGCCCTCTCCTCTTCACGACACGCATAGCCATTCGTGTAATCCCACAGCGCCAGTCTCATAAATCTCAACACATCCCAGTCCAAATCCTTCGTGGCTCCCTCGTCGAGAGGATGCTTCACTTTGATGAACTGAAGTCCCGCGATTCCAAGGGCTGTAGCGTCGACAAAATGCCAGCAGCCGCGATCATATCCGCCACGGATGGTCGTGAACGTCTTCGGCGGAGGATGAGACCATTGGTATGGCTCTCCGATCAGATCCGCGAAGTGGACGTCGTCTTCGAACCAGCTACGGCCGGACGATCGATAAGGTGGGTGGTTGTGAATCTTGTATTCCTTGACAGGCGCACAGTACAGAGTCTCTGGTGGTGTTCGGGTTCCATCTTCCTGTTCGAGAAGAACCCTCTCCGTGGCAGCAGTCGAGTTTCCAGGAATTTGGACGGCATCGCAAGGATGTCTCAAAGCCTGAGCCTGACTTGAAACACCCTCCACCATATCCTCGGCCCCTCTACCATGCTCCCTGTTGGTTTTCATTTCCAACAGCTTCTCTGTGAAATCCGCCGCAAACCCAACATCTTTCGCCAGTCGAGACTCATCCGACAGATGACCATCACATCCGCCATTCCCCCCGTCCCTCTTCACTCTCGCCTGGAAAAACTCTCTCAAAGCTCCCATGGCGTTGATGGCTTCACGAGCTTCAGGGATTGGATCCTCCCAGGAATGGAACGCTCTGTTGTCTTTCAGTAGAGGCCAGTCAAAGCGCAATAGGCGAGTGTGTAGACCGCGAGAGAAGCCGTCAAATAGAACAGTCTCCATCAGCACGTCGCGGATGTATTGATGCTTGATGAAAGCTGCAACGCCAGCGATGCGACGAGCGATGTCGACGATGCCATCTTCGATTATTGAAGGCACGGTGGTGTCACTTTCGGGCATGGTGACGAAGAGTTCCCTTGGATCGTGAGTATTGACTTAGTGATAGAGCTGTGGTCGACAACAGTGAGGCTTTTCTGTGCCGTGTGTTGGCAACTAGCAGGAAGCACATCGTTCTCTGCCACGACTTATACAGTATTCCATTCATAGCGGTGAATGTGGTCGAGGTCGAATACTTGCTACTCTCCATTGTAGCCTACCTACAGCAAGCAAGTCATTAGCAGCATTGAATAGCAGCCAGTATTTTCATACAGATGTCTACATACGAACCGCTTTCCGATTCTGTACAGGTAGAGAGTGGTCAGAAAACGCAACTGGGTATCGAAACATCGCTCGCGCTGGGTCCAAGATCTGTCTGGCTCGGGAGTCTGCGTCGTCGAGTTCCCTAGTAGACCCACGGAATGAGCTTGTAGGGCGTGACTCGCTTGTAGTGGTCGAATTGAGGTCCATACTGGAAGAGATTAGTATCGCGATACATGTGCAGCGGTGGTGTAGTGGGCGCGGCGACTCACCCTCTCCTCCAGATAATGCTGCTGAGCGGGAATCGCGCCCTGCGCAAAGGACCACACAAAGAAGCTGCCTACCACAGCGCCCCAGAGCCATCCACCCGCCGCAACAGCATATCCCGTCCTCCACAACGTATATCCAAAGTAATTGATGTGCCGGGCCAAGCCAAACAGTCCCCCCTCATATATCACGCCCTTGTTCTGGGGATTCCTCTTGAAGGCATGTCTCTGCTGCTCGGATAGCCATTCGATCACGATTCCAGAGATGTACAGCGTGGAGCCTACCATCAGGGGGGTCTGCGGGAAATGCTCTCCATTCGCACTGGCCGAAGTCTGAGCGCAGACGAAGAAGAGGGAATTCAAGCTGTTCAGCACCGCATTGAAGGCGCCAATCACGAGACCGGTGGCGGGTGGCATGTTCTCTTGCTGGATCATGGTCATGTGATAGTTCTGCTTCACCATGGCGCCCAAGCTCATTCCCAAGAGAATCGATCGGTACGGGGAGAGGCCGAGGTGATCGAAGATGGTGCGTGTCAGGAGAGGAGGGCCCGGCGGGAGCGTCGAGCCCCGTAGGAGGCGGATGAGCGGTCGGCCGATATCGTTTTTGAGAAGGGCATATTGGAGGCCTGGCTCCAAGAGTCGTGCGGCGACAAAGATCGCGGTCCCTGCCGGGTTCCTGTCCTTGTTTCCGCGATCTACGTTGTCGTTCTTGCGTGAGGTTTGGTCGTAGGACATGGTTAGACGGTGGGGGAATCGGAAACGGTGACAGGAGTTGGATGTACAGCCCAACGTGTCTTGACGTACTGCCGTCTCCACTTGTCCTCCTGGCGTCCCTCCTGGTGTTCCCTCGACTGCTCCTTACACTGTTCCTTCTACTGTTCGTTTTATATCGCGGGTGAGGGACCGCGACAAAGCAATCATGGTGTCGATTCAGCTCCTACCTAGCGCTGAACTCTCCTCCATCTCCACTCGTTGGTCGACAGTTGAGGTCATCGAGGGGATGAAATGCGGCAGGATGTCGTGGTCGCTCACCAAGGACAGGACAGGACAGGACAGGACGGGACATATCCCGGGCATAAGATATCGTGGGTGAGGATCCGATCGGAGTGTTGACGTTATTGTTATTATTCTTGGTAGACGTTGTATTGTATTGTATCGCTTGACCTTCCTGACAAGTGTTCCAGCGACGCGGAGACGACGTCACTTTGGCTTCAAGTTGTCTGCATTACATGAACATCAATTACATGTATTGCCCATATATATCACATCACCTATGGTATATTATTGACCGCCTGAGCATCATTGCTCTAACACCATTGCTCCAACATCACTACCTTGGCGTCATTACTTGGGCATCATTACTCGCGCCGGGGGGGAGAGAGTGCCCTGGTACCTGCATACATATCTGCATAGATGCCTGCATACATATCTGCATATAACGATATCGATGACGGGAACTGGCTCCTCCACCTCATCAGGCAGTTCCGTCGGATCGGGTATATCCTTCGTCGGCGCTCGTATCACGTTACATTGTCCATGTTGAAAGAGGCATCCGCATCGCTCCGGCCGCCAGGGGCCTTCCGCATCGAGCTCCCTCAAACACCACCACTGGACGTGCTCTTGGCTCGCCCACCAACTCCCTCCCACCTTCTCGACTCCCTCTCCCAGGCCAATCGACATTATTACCCTCCAGAAAGAATGCCAGCCCGAGTCGCTGCTGAGACGGACCTCCCCCGTGATACGTCTGGGATGCTGGCCGATCGATCAGCTCCACCCTCTTCCTTGGTTGGAAGAGACCTGAATCCTACACGGCCCAGAGTGTGAGCTTCAGAATAGCTGCGTGAGCCAGGTCCTCGATGGTTGCACCAATAGGCATTCGGCCTCGCGAGTCCCTATGCTCGTTATACAGCTCGAGGTGCTCCACGAAAGGCGGCTATACATCCTTGACGGCGACCAGTGAACCTGGATACACGGCCTTTGCCACGAAATAGCTCGTATCGCCCACCATCGCCCACCATCGCCCAGCGGGAACAGCAGAGTATAAAGGACTTGCTTCTGACCAAGTCAGAGTTCTTCATCCTACCACTCTTTCCTCCTACACTTCGCACACACTCCCCAATACACCCTTCAACTTCTTCAAATCCACAGTCGTTGGTCCCCACTATCCCTTCAACATGCATACCAACGCCATCCTCGTTACTGCATTGGCAGCCTTGACTGCCGCTCTCCCCAAGGAGCAGGCCAAGCAGTGCGCGACCTGCGGCGACAACTGGAACGGCGAGCAGAGCGACCAGGACGACTTTCGCCCCCAGGGCTACGGCGACTACCAAGGCAACGGCAACGACTACAGCAGGACGGGAGGCTTCGGCGGTGGCCGCTTCGACCTCAACGGCGGCCGCTTCGGCGTCAACGGCCAGAACGGTGGCTACGGACAGAACGGCGAACAATCTTTCCAGGGACAGGGAGGCGGCGAACGCATCGGCGCGCTGGGTGGCGGCTTCCCGGGAGATGCCTTCCAAGGAAACCAGCGCTTCGGCCAGGGTGCCTACGGCCAAGGCCAGGGCGGTGAACGCTTCGGCGAGAACCGTGACTTCGGCCACCGTTTCGGCGCGGAATCAGAGAACGGAGGAGAGAACGGCTTCCAGGGGGACTCCCTCCAAGGCCACGGTCAGCAGTGGCAGGGCGCCCAAGGAGGCTACCGCGGCAGTGAGAGTGGCCAACCTGGTTACCTCTCAGGTGCTGAGCAGCGCCAAGGCGCCTGGCAGGGACAGGGCGGATTTGGAAATGGTGGCGGCTTTGGCAGTGAGGGTCGTAACCGCTTCGCTTATGGTGGTGGCCCGCAACTGAGCGGAAACGACATCGGAAATGGTGGCGGCTTTGGCAGTGAGGATCGTAACCGCTTCGCTTATGGTGGTGGCCCGCAACTGAGCGGAAACGACATCGGCGCCCAGATCCCCATCAACTTCGCCGGTCAAGGTCTCCAACAGATTCCCATCGGCCGCCTCTTCCCATTCCAGTGCACGACGCAAAAGGTTTCTTTCGGCGACCTCAGCGGCCTTGGCCCCCAGATTAACGGCAATGGCGGCGATGATTCTGAGCAGCAGCTCAACGACATCAAGTGCAGGCTCTTCTCGGACGCGCAGGGACACAACCAGATTGGAGAGGAATTCGGTGACCAGCAGCCATGCCAATTCGACGACCCGACTCAGGTCCAATCCATTCTCTGTGACCGCGACAACTAGAGCGAGGAATGGAGTCGCCTTGATGGCAAAGATTGCCTTGATGGCACCTGTATGATTGGAAAAGTAATAGACTGTTTGACGAGAAGAACCAGACGGTCCTGGGTTGATGGACGCTCATTAGACGGCACGGCGAATAGAGAGATCGGGATAGCTATGGTGTCATAGTACATCCCAAGAATGTATTCTTTCCCTCGATTGGTTTTTTGTTTTCTTTCTTTCCATTCCGCATTCCGCATTCCTTATTCCTTCGTAGCATGAACAGTGAAATGAGACCGAGGCGTCGGTCTCGGAGAATCGTTCTGCCTAAACCTCGGCTTTGTCCCGTGCCACCACACCAAGAACGCGCGATCACGCGTCTCATCCTCCCTCACTTCATCTTCATCTTCATCCTCCCTCACTTCCTCTCCTCTCCACATATACCACTCGACATCACGTGTACAAGCAGCTTTATCTCTCTCTCTCTCGTGGAATATGAATTCGACACTGGATATATCCCACCCGACACATACATCTCACGAGACGACATGCCCTTTCCCTTCTCTGAGCTCACCACCTTACTCCAACGACTCGAGGATGTGGAGACACACGAGCCGCCGCTTCTCAAGGACTCCAAGTATGCTCGGACTAGGGAGATAATCGCGAGCTGGTTCAAGTCTCATCGAAGGGGACTTCTTGAGCTCAGCATAGACGGCACGGCGGCATTGTTCTCGGCCCTCTTGCCCGAATGGCGGACCGATCGAGTCTACGGCATCCAAACGCACCGCCTGCATCGGATTCTGTGTCGCACTCTGCAACTCGGCCTCTCTCAGAAGAAAGACCTCGAGGCGTATCGTCAGCCCGGAAACGGCGACCTGGCCCTCTGCTTGGAGAGAGTCATGGCCTTGGGAGGCACGCAGGCAACCCCCATCGTCATGCTCGAGGAAGTCGATGCAATGCTCCAAGTCCTCGCTGGTGGCTCTGCATTCTCCGGACCCGCGATTCCGAGCCTTCCACCGGGCAGTTCGGAAGTGAGAGACCGGTTACTCGGACACATCCTGAAGCGCCTGAGGCCCCAAGAGGGCAAGTGGCTCGCCAGGATGATCTTGAAGAACTTTTCTCCCCTCCGCATAGACGAAAACCTGCTGCTGGAAAACTACCACTTTCTGCTGCCGGATCTCCTTCGATTCCAGAAGGACTTCACGGCTGCCGCACGACTACTCAAGAATGAACTACACGAGTATCCTGAACGCCCCGATCCGAGATCGGAAACGCTTCTCCGTAGGCAGGCGGCCGAACGTATCAGACCCGTTGTTGGAACACAGATCAGCAGACCGAACTTCTACAAGGCGCGCAGTATCGATTCTTGTAGCAAGATGCTTGATCGACGGAGCTGGGTTCTCGAACGCAAATACGATGGAGAGTACTGCGAGATACACATCGACCTGCGCCAGTCACCAGATCCGGCGAAATGCATCAAGATCTTCTCCAAGAGCGGCAAGGACTCGACAGCAGACAGAGCAGGCGTGCATCAGACAGTCATCGACTCTCTACGACTTGGTCATCGGAATTGCAGATTCAGGAAGCAGGCGATCCTGCTTGGTGAACTTGTCGTCTTCTCAGACGAGCAGGATGAGATCTTACCTTTTGAGAAGATCAGAAAGCACGTCAGCCGATCTGGACGCTTCATCGGGACAGATGAAGACTCACAGGCACATGCTCACGAGCATCTCGCAATCGTTTACTTTGACCTCTTGTTGTTGGACGACGAAGTAGTCATGAACAAGCCTATTGAGGAGAGGAGGATGTGGCTACGAGAGACATATCGCAAAATTCATGGTCGTGCCATTGGTTCAGAGTGGAAGATTGTCGACTTCTCGAGCCCCGATAAGGCCAGGAAACACCTCTTGGACCAGTTCGCTGCTTCGAATGCTCGACGTTGCGAGGGCCTGGTGTTGAAGCCCTGCGGCGTCCCATACCTCGCCTTGGACGCTACAACTTCGTATCAGCGCAGTTTCATCAAGCTGAAGGAAGACTACATACATGGTCTTGGTGACGAGGCGGACTTCGCGGTCGTCGGCGCTAGCTACGATGCGCAGCAAGCTGCAACATCTGGATTGACGAACATCAAGTGGACGACGTTTCACCTCGCATGTCTGACGAACTCCGAGGACGTGCGCAGAGTAGATGTCAGGCCAAACTTCAAACATGTTGGGTCAATCAAGCAGGAGCATTGCATTTCTAGAACCATCCTGCACACCATCAATCAATTGGGTGCCTTCACAGCTCAGCCCTACGATCGCAACGCAGCACCGCAGAGTTTCGACGTCGATGCCACACAACCTCTGAAGATGGATGTGATCTTTGAAAAGCCCTTCGTGTTCGAAGTGCTTGGTTCCGGGTTTGAGCAGCCATCGAACAGCAGCTTCTTCATGCTCCGGCATGCCCGAGTGAAGAAGCTTCACGAGGATCGCACATGGCGAGATTGCATTACGTTCCAGGACTTGCAGGAGCAGGCCAAGACATCGCGAGCTGCTCCGGATACCTCTGAATCTCAGGAGATCAGAAGAGAACTCGAGAAGCTCGAGCGGAGCTGCAGGAGGAAGTTTGATCGTGAAAAATCGGCTACTTCAGGGTCCAGTACTAGGAGGACAGCAACGCCGAGAAGCTCGATTGCAAGCATCTCACTGCGGAGGAGTCCCAACAAGCCAGTGATCCAGCGTACTGTCGCCACGACCCCGACACCGACTGCTCCGGGTGCTGTTCCGGCTACCACGAGCTCTCGTCTGCAGCAAGTCTTCCCTCCCGAGCGACAAGTCTCGATTGGCAAGCGGACATCTGACCAGGCTACTGCTTTGGTGGAAAATCCAGCGAAGAGACCGCGGACAGAGCCTTTAGTGGAACGTGATTCACGAATCCCAGCGCCGCTACAAGAGATCACTATCAATACCGATGCGCGCTCAAGTCGAGAGGGTACGAGAACGATTCACCAGTCCCAAGCCGTCTCCGAACGCACAAGACAGCTCGTATCCCTGATCTGTCCCCGCCAGAAGAACACTTTTTCCCCCGAGCGTCACATATCCAAAGCAGCCTGTGAAGGAAGCAGATGTCCCTTTTCCAACACCGTCGTCTTTCTCACACCCTGCATCGCACAGACACTCTACATCACCGAAGACCTCCTCTCCACCCACAACGTCGAAATCGCCACCGACATATCCCACTGGGACCGAGCGGGCTTCTCCCACCCCCCACTCACGGACACCGTCTCGGAGAGCCAATCACACCCGGGCATGCGAAAGATCATCCTCGTGGAGAGGAAACGCCGCACGGCAGTCCGAGACATCGTCCACACCATACAAACATTGAATCACGGCCGGTTGCGGGAGCGGATCGAAGTCTACGATTGGAGGGTTTTGGAGGATTGTGCTGCACATGATCGCAGTGCGGATGCTGTCAAGGGGCGGTTTCTCGGTGCTACCATGTTTGACGATACCCGGGAGCGTTGTGTCTTTGTCGGTGAGGGTGGATGAGTGAGTGAGTGGTCTGTCAGAGGGAGTCTTGATTTGTAATTGATTGTTACCGCATTCCCAGTAGCTCGGGTTCCGTTCGCGGTGTCGAGATCCCTCGAAGGCTGAGGGGTACGCCTGCTGTGCTGCTCATCTCGAGAGGTTTCTCAGCCACTTCCGAATCGAATCCCGCATCTTTGATGGGGGATATCATCTACAATTGAAAATTTATTATCCTCAGAACGTGTCCTTGGATAGTCTCCAGATATGGCCCGTCTGTCGCAGCGCAGACACGATACCGTGGGCTTTCAAATCTGCTCCTGCTTGTGCTACTTGCGCTAGATCTTCCTTTCAAGTCCTCATGCACTCTCACTTCCTGCTGCAGAGTTGTATTGATATCTCTTCACGCTTCATCCGTAGAAACCCACGACGACCATTTTACTTCCTCAATCAAGGAGGAGGCATTGAGCTTCCTCATAGAGTGCTCGGGCTTCCTTGCTTATCTGGCCGTGGACTTGATTTCGACATAACGGGGGGTTTCAATTTCAAGATAAAAGGACGCCGCTCAAGAGTTCTGGTCAATGGGATACTTGACAAAAGGCAACCATCGTATACATACCCTTTGGAGATCCGGATCCGGAGGTTTCAGTGAGAGAGTGCAAGCTCTGTCGTATGTGGCCCTCGTCACACTCCAACGGTATTCGGTCACAGCGCCGCAGTGTGCCGGTCGCAGTGAATGTTCTATAGCAGGGCGAATCACGACGATCAAAGGATAACTATCTAGACTCACCCATTCCATACGCAAACTTTCTCTTTCACGGCAGTATTGTTTACCCTACTATCCGTGACGATAGCATTGAACCCATTCGCAGCCCTGGACAAGCCAGCGTCTTTCTCATAATGCTGCCAACCACCTCGACTGATATAGACGAACAAGTCTCTATTAGCCGTTGTCAGAGGCGAGAATAGAGAGAGAGAGAGAGAGAAGAGAGAGAGAGAGAGAGAGAGAGAGAGAGAGAGAGAGAGAGAGAGAGAGAGAGAGAGAGAGAGAGAGAGAGAGAGAGAGAGAGAGAGAGAGAGAGAGAGAGAGAGAGAGAGAGAGAGAGAGAGAGAGCAAGGGTGCGGATCATATTTGCCGGCGTCATCAATGATCAGTATCGCTGGAGGTGGAATCGGTACATCGGAAGGCGTAGAGTTCTTGTTGAATCCGACGACTCTCGAAAGGCTGGAATTGGGCGTATGCCCTTGAGTGGTGTGGAGGCTATCTTTGGGCACAGAAGAGATTTTATGGAGCGAGGAGATCATTCAGAAAAAGTGGACCTAGAAGGGCATCAGGTAAGATGGTGGCGAGGTGAGAGTTTCGACTATGTCCGGAGAGAATTGAGGACAAGGCCTGCATCGATCAGTTAGAGACAGAGCAAGCTGATGTGTGATGGGAGGAGATAGCGCCTACATCATTGCTAGGAGCCAAGACCGTGAATGGAGGGCCTCAAAGCCGAGACTGAATTTCTTCTCAAGATCAGGAGCGGGTTTTCTCGAAGCCTTTCCCAGTGCTGTTGATGAGCGTGTAGAAGTGGATAGTTCCGGCATACGATTGAAAAATCGTCAGAAGAGGCTCCGGCGGTTGCTCTTGTCTAGTATCCTTCGACGGGGCATAAGACTCTGCACTGGCTTCTGTGAAGTTTTTGAACGAGAAAATTACGATGCAGACCCATGGAATGAACATGTCTGCGTCCTGTGGCTTGTTGAATGAGCGGACCTTCGCGAGCGAGGCGCGAATGAGCTCCACATGTTATTGTAGCTTTGACGACCCGCGAGCACAATTGATGAAGCGGCTCGTTGAAGCCCTCGCCTCAAAAAGTGCCTATGATCTTTCAGCCGTGGTAGATTTCATCGTGATGGGGGAGCGCAGAGATGTGGCAGCAGGCCTCCTTCAAGACCTTTGCTTCGTCGCCCATACGAAAGCTCCTCGAGGCGATACAGCGTAGCTACGATGCTCCCTGTCGTAGGCAGGCAGGGAAGGACTGATACGAATATTCACCAGGCTATCTGATGTGAGATCAGATTACTGATCGTAACACGCGAGTCAACGCCAATACCAAAATGCCCGATGTTTCGCATGGCGATCCGTATCTTTCTTTCTGCCCATAGAAGTCATGATCCTTTGCGAAATCTCTCAGCGCTCCATCGATATGGCGCCATTTGGTCTCTCTCGTCAAGTGTTGTTGTAGTAAACAAGACGGAAGAGAAGTGGTGTCCAGCTTATACGCAAGGATCACGATCTTCTAATTTGAGTTTTGTCTGCTAAGCATGCATTGCTGGCCCATGTCTGTTACAGAACCGTCGCACTTTGGGGCATGGTAGCATCAAGGCCTCTTCGCAATGCGCCGTTTTGTAGCCGGAGAAGGAGAGCAGAAACGCTGGAAGGATATCTTATGATAGATTTGACCGATAGACTCCACGCAGCCCGTTTCTGGCCGTGAAATCTTGGGAGTGCAGGGAATGAGCCTCTCAGTGCGCATTCAATGTTAAGTCTAGCAGTAGAAGAGTGACTCTCGAGTTGCGTCCCATATTTTTAACTCGCTTCGATTGCATCCCACTCAGCAACTTCAGCCAAGCATTCCGCGAGCTGTTTCTCATTGGCGCCGTTGGCTAACAATGACTGTCTTGTTGTCGACCGTCGGTAAGCATCGGTCCAAGATGTAGACTGCCGTGTGCCTTGCACCGAAGTAATTGGCGTTTATCCTCGTCACGTATTCCCACGTACTTGAGAATCTTGTGTAGTCCCGTCGCTTGCTGGTACGTCAAAAAGACGTACGAAGGCCAAAGCCTGGCAGGGAGATCTCGTTCGGACTCAAAGCTGCGATGGAGCGGACAGTCATGTTGTCCGGATCCGAGTGCTTGTTACTTCTGCTTGATCGGGCTTTTGAACGACTGATATGTGCAGTAATCTTGAGATGGCGCTGAGAAACTTCATTCTTGCCCGTCAACACAAGGACAAAGCCTCGTCGTGAGGATGAGCCCAGAGTGCGATATAAGGCGATCAGTCCTGGCCGAACCACGATTCAGTCAGCAGAAGAAGCCAGAGCATCACGAGCAATCGAGTCGAAGATGAGGACCTCCAAGCGCTGCCACCAAGCACCGGGTCCTGCCACGCGACAGAGTGCTACAGCGACGAGGCGCTCCAGATCATGAATGAGAATTGGCGTAGAAAAACCGATCCTCTCGAAAGACGCCGCATCCAGAGACGCCTGAACCAGAGAGCCTTCCGAGAGAGCGCCAAGGATGAGCCAGCAATCTAACTCCGACCCAAGCACGCCAGAGGCTGACGACGAGGAAGTCGGGGAAGACGATGCATCCCGATCTGCAACATCACCCCGAGCGGAGAAGATCCGTTCTTCAAGAATTGCAGGACCGGAATCCGACGAGCTCGGCCATCCCATAAACAGCAATGTGGTGCAAGCCGTGGCGGCAAATTCTCAGCATATCCGGGATCGACACGGACGCGCTGCGCTCTTCGAACCTCGTCGTAGCGCCGCGTCTACCCACAGAGGTGGGACCAGATTCCCTTGTACCACTCAAGCAAAAACACATTGTTTAGCATGATCCTTGCATTGATGTCAGCCCGCACGATGGATTCCTATACAACGTCTTGTAGTACGCTGCCGATGGCCAAGTGGACACTCTGAGGTACGGCGCTTGCTTGCGGCGCGGTGGAACCACGACGAGCATAGGCGGCAGAAAAGTCAAAGACCGGCTCATGGTGTGGTCAATACGCCAGGGAAATTCAGCATTGGGAGCTCTCAGAGGCTTTTCTTCTGAATTGGAGTCGCTTGCTGAAAGGATGTGAAGATTGGGTGTCTGCGAGTGAGAGGAGAGCCACCAATACCAATTCGTAGATCAGTCGCTGGACGATATACATTACATCCAGCTACCTCTCTCACAGACATCTCTCCTGCTCCGAACCGATCTCGGACTTTGGCTTGGCGAGGTCGTAAGAAGGAAGAACCGAAGCCCAGCAACGTTCCCCATACAGTGAGTGAGTGATTATAGAGGAGTGGGGAGCTGCTCAACGATTGGGCCCGGCGTAGGACCGCAATGTCAGGCGAGCTATACGTCAAGCAGCATCGAAAATTGAGGAATGGCAGAAATATCAAGGGCTGGGTGGAGACGTAGGTTGTAGGCGTTGGAGTAGGCAGAAAGGATGGTAAGAGGTGTATTGTGGTGGAGGAAGTGTTGATCTTGTGTGCTGGGAACTTCCGCTAGCTTCCGCTCTCGACCGACCAATGACAGCCCTCCAATCTCAAACCAACACCACATTGCATACAGGACAACACAACTGGCATTCAACTCTGTCTTGTCATATATGAGTCTGTATGAGGCATACATAACCCTCCGCAGAACTTCTATCGCTAGTCGCGCCGCAGATCAGGGAGGAAAGGGAAGCCAGATGCCAGCTTGCCCGCAAAATCCTACCTTCAAGCCTTCACACAAGCCCAATAAGCCGCCCAAGCCGTCGTCGAATTCCCATTCCACGCCGCAAACTGGTCATCCGTAAACCCATTCTCCGCCCCCAACGCCTCCACCGTCGTCCCGGGAGCGACCAGTTCGAAATCCTCACAGTCACTCACGATATTCGGCATCACCGGTACCGGGGTCTGGTCGGGGGCATAGTGCGTTCCAAAAGCGGGCTGCACGGGCGGGACGTAGGTGTATTCGGGGGTGTTGATGCAGACGGGGACGTAGGCGCGGAGGCCGAAGCAGGTCTGGCCGATGTCCGGGTTCCAGAGGTAGAGTTGGGTGACGGTGAAGTTGGAGTAGGATTTGGCGATGGTGAGGCAGGTGTCGTCGGGTTGGACCGTGTAGAAGGCGGTGCAGTCCGAGGGCCAGTCGACGCAGACCTGGGAAGGGGAAGGGGTTAGTGGGATTGGTGGAGGAATGGAAATCTTGAATGGAGACTTACGCAGCCGGCGCTGTTGGAGCAGTATTCGGTGCAGCGTGCCTCGATATCGGAAGTCCTTGCCAGAGGAGAGGCCATTGCTGTGGCGGCGAGAGCGCCAAGGGCGAAGATGGAGAACTGCATGCTGTCTGCTTTGGAGATGTCCGATGTGTGTAATTGTCCGATAGTGTGTATCGAGCCGAATGCTGTTGAGATGATACTTCTCTCCAATCTAGGACGACGAACATCTCTTATATCTTTCTCCAAACACTCCATGCCCCACATATCCCTAACCTCACCTTCAGGCAACACATGCAACGTTACAACAAACTGGTGTATCGTGCCTAACCTAGAAGCGATGATCGAAAATTGGAGCTGGCGGTTGAGCTGAACCAAATTCTCCAAAACGGGACCCGTACAAATCCGCACATCGTTAAACATGCGGGCACGCGCGAACAAAAGCTTTTCGAGATGTATAAATAACCTCCACGTTGTACGAAAGCAGCACCGCGTGGCTGAGCATCCGCAAAAAATTGGCGTGGAAGGATTTCGAAGGATGGCGTTGCCTTGGCTAGCTGCATCTTGTGGCGTACTAGGTTTTCACCAATACCACTTGGACCGCCCCGTAGACGGCTACTTGCGATGATGATGATGATTGGTGTTGTGCGGCTGAAGAGTCGAAAGCTCACCGGTGATGCCAAGATGCAAATTGATGCCGCTCCAAGCCAATGGCCGCAGATGCGTCGCATGAGGGAATCTTCGAATGCAGAATCCTGTACTTGAGTGTCACGATTGATGCAGTGGCAAGCCGGTCTGTCGGTGAGATGAGACAAGAGAATGCTTATATGGTGCGCCAGGTGTACGCTTCGTATCGATGGACTGGCCATTGACGGTCAGTACGTCCTGGAAATCGAATAATAGGCGTTGGATACATGCTGTACATACAATTCGGATGAAACACCGGCCACACAACAGGAGCGCGGTCTCAGTCCCACTCTTCAGACGAACCTTCTCTTCAGGACGTCTTTCTTTCTCGCATCTGCTGAAGCAATACCCTACGAAGCCCGCCTTTGGGCGGCTTGAACATGCTCTGAGCGCTCGACATGGGTGCCAGGGCACCCCACTGTCCCTTGTACGAATTCGCAAGCATTCGGTCAGTGTAGACTCTTTTCAGTCTCTTTGCCGCCCCGGTTATCGTCTTCCGCTGGCGGCGCGCCGTCAGAGCCTTGATCAATGGCTCCGCTTTCGCGTTCATCTCCTTGGCAACATCCAGACCTCCCCACTCCCACTGATCGCACTTCATACCAACACCGTAGTATTGATACTGCTTCAGAAATGCCAACCACCTACTCACGACCTCGGGATGTCCATCCAATATGCGGATCCATCTCCTCTTCGTCACACGCTCGAAGTTCTCCTGTGATTTCTTGTGCACGAAATTGCTGCGCGGCACGGTGTATCGCTCCACGATGCGCCGGAGAGGTCGCGGCTCTTTCGCCGGGAGGCCGAGGTAGTATGCTGCTCGCATGGCGAAGTCGGTGTAGAGTTCGAGGTTGCGGACGCTGTAGGAGCGCAATTGGAGGTCGGCGGAGACGATGCCATGGCGCGCTTCGTGCTTGAGGGGCTTCAGGTAGGTTGCTTGTACGGCTTTGGGAAGACGGATTCGCGCAAGCTCCTGTTCCAGAGAGGCGGGAATGGGCTTCTGCTGCAGCGGTGGGAGAGATTCTGATATCGCCGGTGCTGCCTGTCCGGTGGATATCTCGATGCAGCGGGTTTGTTGGTGTACTGCAGGGGGTGCCCGAGAGAGCTGCTCAGCATGTTAGACGGTAGCAGGAGTGGCGATCTCAGTATAGCAGACCTTCAATCTCTTGAAAGCACTCGTCAACGAGCGCGAATAGGATGTCGTCGCCATGAGGTGTAGATGTTGGAGTTGAGGTAAAGGCGACACCTTCAAATTGGAAGTTGTTACTGTCCAATGCTCGACTTTGCGGCAAGCTCGGGAACGCAACGATTTATGTCACGGACAAAAGTCTACTACCGGAGTTGGTCTCTCACATCCGGGCACATCATCAACTTCACCTACTGCACGTACTCCAAGATAGAAATGCACAAACGACATGATGGACACCATGACAGACATGAACAGCATACTAACATATGACATTCGAGAAGTGCGATACTCGCGACTTTCAATTTGGTCAAATACAGTCTTTCCTCCTCTAATACGCCTCTCCACTGGCGATGAGGATCGGATCAAGCACCACACACGGGTAATCCGCCACCAACAGGTTCTGCGTCGACTCTCCGTTCGTTTTGTTCGTGCCTCCAAGCACTCCCAGCTCCACCCCGTTATTACTCCCCAACCGTGGCCAGCCTGGACCTCCACTCGGATCCTTCGCAAAAGACGCCCACGCATTCTGCATGTACATACTCAATTGCACTTCATCTTGTGTGACAGGTCCGTTTTGGTTGTTGAGATAAGTTCCGTACACGAGCGGAATCTCGCTGGAATGGTACGCACCCGCGTTGGGGAAGAATTGGAGGTTCGCGAACGAAGCGTCATAGCGGTAGCGCCAGACTGGTTGGCGGCCGGCGGAGGCGATGGCGGAGGAGAACGTCGAGGTAGTGCACGTGAAGATGAAGTCAGTGATTATTCTGATGTATCAACAGTTAGCCGAGAACAATCTTGTAAGGCACAGTATATTTCCGCAGTGGAGCGTTATCATCTTCCCAGAGATTCTGGCCCGAGTAGCGCAGAATCAGCGGTGGTGGGCAACAGCATAGCATTGCGATGTGCAAAGACACCGGATATCTGGTCTTTCGCTTACCGTGAAAGGAGCGCATCTGCGTCATCCACAACACTCTGCGGATAGGTGCTGGTCAACGCAGTGATGACTTGGTTGGAGAGTGCAGGAGCGATCGCTTGTGCGGCGGAGCTGACGCCGCTAACCTGGGGATTGAGGCCCAGAATTGCCAGAAAGACGGTAAATTCATCCTTGTTGGTCCCAATAAGGATAGGAACATCGGCGAACTTGCCGGATTCGATGGCTGGCAAGGTCTGAGAGCCACTATCCGTACCATCGTTCGTGACAGGAGGAAAGTCGACACTATTGTTAGAGATGTACTGCTGAATCGCGGTTCCAGAAACCTTTCGAAGACATGCAAGTGGTGAAAGAGCGAGAGCACACCCGAAGTTGGCCGCAACTTGATTGTAACTGACAAGTCCATTTCCAGCCCGTAGAGCTTGTTGCGATTCCATGATAGCAGCTCGGAAAGGCAAAGGGTTTGGTGGATTGGCCAGGAGTTGCTTGATCGAATATCCACCAGCACTCTCACCGAAGATTGTGACTTTCGTCGGATCACCACCGAAGTGTTTGATGTTGTCTTGCACCCATTGCAGAGCAAACCGTTGGTCGAGGAATCCCGAGTTCTGTTTTCCCGCCGCGATCTCCGGGCTGTTGGAGAATCCAAACATGTTCGTCCTATAATTGATTGCGACAACTACGACGTCGTGATTCACAGCGAGAGAAGAACCATTGTAGTATGCCAGGGAAGCCGTTCCGATCTGAAGGTTTCCACCAAAGACCCAGAACATGACTGCCTTCAGATTTGTTGGACTGGCGTCCTGTGGCGCAAACACGTTCAGGTACATGCAGTCCTCGCTCTCAGCAGGAGGTGAAAGGCCGGGATTGTTGAAGTACTCTCTTTCTCTCTCTCCATCGGAGCCGGGCAAAAATTGCTGTAGACATGCTGGAGGTAGCTGTTGAGCCTTCAGAGGTGTGGACCATGCTGCTGGAGCTTCTGGGGGCGCGAAGCGAAGAGGCGGACTCTTTGCATACGGTACTCCGAGGTAGGCATTGGCAAGGCCGGTTACGGACGGTTGATTTGATACCGCTGTTGCCGTTCCTACGATGGTGCCAGACGCGATTGAAACTGTCGGATCTGCTGCCTTTTTCTGAGGCGCAGCGTAGCCGAAGAGCGGTAAACAGAGAGAAGAAAATAATAATGAAGACCGCATCTTGCCTTGTGATATCCTTCACGGCCAAGGGGAGGCTGTAAAGATATCGATGGGCGGGGTCAGATAGCAAGCACAGTTTCTTGGTGGCGACCTCACCTACTATTCATACAGCGCGAGAGCGACCGCATCCAGAACGCTATGGCTCGAGGCTGACGATCCTGCCCGTTTCTCCCCTAGCGTGAAGGCGAGGTAGGCGAGGTAGGCGTCCAAGCGTCGTCCAGATTGAAATGCCTCGGTTTCTCATAGTAGGGCAGAAACAAGCCGTGGCCAAGGCAGAGCCGCATCAGAATCGTGCATGACGCCATGTTCAGCGTAGACCGGTGTTATGTGTCGGTGGTCCTTTGACGGCGCAGTGGTGGTCGACCACTTTGTGTAGTAACGATTGAATGCCAGTTCGGTGAATCAGACCCGCGTTAGCTGAGTGACGTTTTTGGTGACTGCGGTATGCGGCTTCATCGTTTCGAAGCGGACACCTACACTTGCATTAACAACGTATCTGATTCAAGCGGGCATCTGTGAACTGCACCAGAACCTAGTAGGCGAGACGGACGGCGTCTTAGCGTTAAGTTGTATGTAGAAAGTGAAAGTGCGGGGAAGGAAACGGGATGAAGTCCACAGGTCGCTTATGTCAGCAGTTGGCTTATGTCAGCACGGAAGCTCCCTTCCACCTTCCACTTCCCTTCCACTTCCAACTTCCTTTCCACCTTCATATACATCTCATTAACACCGCATCAACTCGTTCTAGGTTTTATCCAGTCCCAGCAGCGCTGTAACGGCATTACTACCCGGTCGGCCAGGTCTTTCCTCCACTCATTGCCATTCAGCGTCGTTGGCGATTCGCGAAGACACCATTGGATAGCGGACGCAAACTCAGGTCCGGCTTCGCCTTCCGCCTCGTCGTCTGCCCATCTTGATGCGACCATCGATCGTGTCAGCGAGTCTGTCTTCCTGCCCTCGAGTCCCAGCTTCTGCCACAGTTCATGTGCTTCCAAAGTCTTCCCGAAGAGGAGCTCCAGCAAGATAATGCCAAGACACTCGAAGCTGTGGTCTGTTTGCCTGGATCGAGCCCGAAGACTTGAGGGGGCGTCGTTGAAGTCGGTTGAAACATATGGTTTGTCGAGACTGATCTTGTCTGGGTTCTGACGGTCTTGTGGGAAGAAAATGTCCTTTGCTTCCCACTGTCGCCTGGACCAAGAAGTAGAGGCCAACTGGAGATGGGCAGATGCAACTGCAAGAGCGATCTTGAAGCGGTCAGATTTCCTCTTGATCGTTTGACACTTGCAGTCGCGCAAGATGTCTTCCAGTGAGACATCGCCGGCAGACACCGTCGCATCTGGCTTTGCGCAAACGAGATATTGAGCGTCATCGGAAGAACCTACAAGGGCACCCAGTTGGACCGGACTCATGCCACAGCTTCTCATAGCTTTACATAGATCCTTGATTTGACCATCTTTGCTGGACGATGAGACCACGTCTGGTCCAGATGAAGCGCTGGTTGACGATGCGGTGGTCTTCAGCGGAGCGTCGGGCTCAACTGGTTTTGAGATCCTGGAGTCGATCAGTACATTCGACAATGAACCAAGGTTCCAATTTGTGGACTCACTTAACTCTCTTCGCAAGCTTCTGCGAACAACCGCTCCGGATATTCTCAGGTTTGGGTGGTCCAATAAACTTTTGCACGGGCGTTGCGCTCATGCTTTCAGGCCCAAACAATCCTCCATGAACCCAGGTGATTTCCAGGTCTCGTGGTTTCCAGAATGCGTGATCAGACGGCGAGGAGTGTTGCGGCTCCCAAAGCATGAGCAGCTTCAGTTCATTGGCTTGGGCCACAGGATGATGCAGCCATAAGTATGCGCAATGTTTCTGTTTACATGAGCAGATCCAGGAAGCCTGCACCAGCGCGTGTATACGTCCCGCGTGGTGCCAGTACTGGAGAAGAGGCTTGCTCGCTCTGCGTGACACGGCAATGGTGGCACTGCACTGCAGCTTAGTTACCTTGTCGCTCCGGCGTATAAGTCCCTCCAACTTTGCGTTCTTCTGCCGAATCTCTGCGAGAGCTTCTTCTCTTCCCGCTCGACCAAGCCCAAACTTGACTTGCTTGAGTCGCTTGAGGCACTGTTCGTTTGCTGCGATCAAAAACCTGGATTTCAGCGGCATGGATTTGCCTGGAACGGATGCCTATGTCGATGGCACGTCAGCACGAGTTTTCGTTCGGGATACCGACATACCTCGAGCGCTTGAATTTTGGCCTGGAACTTTGGTCTTTCAAAATTGAGTGACTGTAAGATCTTTGCAAGGGACGACTGGAGCTCCTGCATAATAGAGAAGTAACGCTCAAATGCGGCGCTCAGTCGTTCTTCGAGCGCATGCTCAACGTCCGCTTCCCTCCAACTTGGGCCACCCGGATCCGCTAGTAGAGCTTCGAGATCACTTTCGATCACCACTTCATGGCTGAGCAAGGGCCACAACAGGATCACCAGATTCTGGCGGAATGTAAGCTGTTCGTCTTTGACGTCGTTGAGGATCTTTTGGTTCTCGACTTCCCAGTTGCGGATCAAGCCGACAACCTGCGCGATGTCTCGGTAATGCTCAAACGCTGATATCAGCAATGGAAAGGCCCCAAGGACCAAGCCAACAACCTCGATGCCGCTCATCCTACGCTAGGAAGAATGACGATGTTGTTTCGGTGTGCAGACTGACCGAGATAATAAATGCAAGGCAGGAAGGAGTGCATTTTCCAGCCTGATATGCTGTCGAGGCGCAGTATGTCTACTCACCTCAGGCCACAGTGCCTGGTCAATAGGAGCACTCGTGGGTCGCACACCGGTCCAAGCCACCTGCGATAACGCGCATGCGTTGAGCGCATCCAGCCATCACGATCTTTCAACGTCTTAAAGGAAGGGCAAAAACGACATCCCACTTGCACTCCTCAATCTCTGCCACTCGTTATGGCAGAATCTTTACAACAACAGGTCTTCGATCTGATGGCTGCTTTTGAGCAGACCAGTACAACGCTGAGAAATCACGAAGGATTCGCGTGGGGAATATTTGACCGTTTGTCGGCCCTGGGAAATGTTCAAGACGCTGCCGAAAGATTTAGACTCTGGAAAGGAAACTTTGAAGCCGCTCACGGTGGCTTTGACACTGGATCGCTGGCACAGCATTTGGGCAATACTGTCGCCATTTACCACCGCATAGAAGAGATTTTGCACGAGTTGAAAGCTCTGTTGGAGTCAAGTAAGCTCTGCGCAACGTCCTGTTTCTTCAGACAATTCTGACAGGTGAACCAAAGTCCGCTCACCACAGCAAATATCTTTCGCAGATTCGCGCGGCTCAAGCATAGGTTGTCCTGATGACAACGACGACGATAATGACCAGCTTCTTCTGGAGTTAAAGTCCCTGGCGCCCACTCGGGAAGCGCATGCGGATTGGACCCTACTGTCTATGCGCGATATCGTCACACGCTTGTGGAAAGTCACGCGCATGATGAAGAAAACGGTCACGCCAGACATATATGATCGTGCTCAAGCTGTTCAAGATGGCAAGATTGACAATCAGTACGATATTCAGCACGTTCGGGAGAGGTTCAAAGACGGTCAAGCGGAAGACTGGCTGATCGTTCGCCTTGGAAGTGCGATTACGAACCGGCGACAATTCCTCAAGTACTGTGAGGGGCGTCGAGAATGGCAGCCTCTTTCGACCGCACCAAAAGAGACTGTTGCTTGTTATCCACGAGCAACGATTTCGCATGGTTCCGTGGACAAAGTCGCAACAACGATATCTTGGTCGCCAAACAGGGTCGGCTCAACGTCTAGTGCCGATCTCACTGGTCTTTCACGGGTACAAGATGGCTCTGATGACACTTTGAGTCAGTCAACACTCGCGCCATCGCTGCCCGAAAGTGAAGACTCGACGGCATTGCGTGAGCCAACGTTGAGCGATGTCAACGCGTACTTGCAGGACAGGTTCAGTTGCCCGTACTGCCACAAATGGAAGACTTGCAAAAGTGACCTCGAATGGAAGTGAGTATCATCATTCCTCTCCCAATTCCGAGTGTTTTGTACTCACAGACAACAGAAAGCATCTCTATCACGATCTCAGGCCGTTCCTATGCACCTTCAAGAGCTGTGGAATGTTGATGTTTGAAACCCAACGGTCATGGTTTGACCATGAAATGACGTATCATCGCAGACGCTGGACCTGCCTACGTGCTGGCTGCCGGCAGAGGGTCTTTTCGGACGGGGAGAAATTCGACTCGCATGTTCAAGACTGCCACAGAAGTCATCTCACCGGCGAAGAAGACTTGGATTGGACAGTCTCGCACCCACTTGAAAGGATTCCGGCGAAAGACTGTCCCCTATGCGACTGGGATGGCAAGCTTCGTGCGACAAACGACCGCATACCGCTTGACGCGGTTGTCACCGTTGGCACCTCCCAATTCAAGAAACATCTTGGGTCGCATTTAGAGCAATTGGCTTTATTTGCTTTGCCGAACATTTGTTATGGTGACGACGCCGAAGAATCAAGCGTGGTAAGCGGTGTCGCCGGTGGAGACTCTATGAGATCGACAAAGAGCAATAGCCATCGATACGAACGAACACATCACCCGAAATTGTTCGGGGTCGCTTGGGCGTTACTTCTTACTTGTCGTATGCAGCGCGCAAGGCCGACCCCGTTACACGAGCGAATTTTCAAGACAACATACGAGGGAAAGCAAAACAACGGCAATGGGAACAAAACAATATCCTACTCCTATCCCGGCCCGCCACCTCAGCCCGACGAGAATCAGAAGAGTAGCGGTCCATCACGCGGCATGAGCGTGCCAGACTACGGACGGGGCAGTGACAGTAGTCCTAAATCAACAGCCTCCCATGAGCGATATAAGTGCCATATATGTCAGACCTCCCACGCACGGTATGTCATGCTACGCGATCGTGAACGCCATACCGAGCTGCATCATACCAACGAACGCCCATATACTTGTGACTGGTGCGGCATAAAATTCGCACGTAGCGACAGCCTTGCAGCACATAATAAACGGCCGGGAGGTTGTATAGGTGTCGCTCGAGAGGCCAGGGGAAGGGGATGAATCACCGGAAATTGTTCAGTGTCATTCGTGGAGGCTCTACGAGTCCGACGAAGAGCAGTGAGCATCGGTACAAGTCACCGTACAAACCAACACGTCACCCGAAATTGTTCGGGGTCGCTTGGGCATTACTTCTTGCTTGTCGGGTACCACACAGAACCATCACGGCAACATACGAGGATCTGACCGTTGCTATAAAAGTTCGCACCTTCGAGAATGGAATGTCTTTAGTCTTGCGCATCATGCAAAGCCTCGGTTTTGGGGACGAGCTGAGCCCCGATCTCATACAGATTTCGAAACTCGGGGCCTCATCGAGACACGAAGCCCCGTTGTCAAGGGACGCGCTGTCCAAGCTTGTCAGGAGCGCTACGAGTGAAGAAGAGACTTTGAAGCTTCTCGTGGAGCTCTCCGATGAAGGCCGAGCTGCCGTAAAGCTCTTCTGCTCCTTCGTCGGTTGTCATGCGCGCTTCGAAAGCATCAGAGACTGGAGCTACCACGAGTCGTCTCACTTTGATGAATCACTACCAACAACTGCCCAGTGTCCATTTGCACACTGCGATTGGTCTGCGACTGCCTCACTGGGAGAGCGCATATGGTCGCACCGCTACGATCACATTTTGCGCAACCATCCCTTAGGTGGCCAGATCCCTCCCCGTCCCCTGGAACGTCGGACGCAGGCGCTCATGCCTCGTTCGAGGAATCAAACAATCGCAAACCTAGGCGGTGAAGGAAACCGGCGGAAGGAACCACAAGAGAAATACAATTCTGTTCGCAGCGTGTACAATGATGGCTCTGCGGAGCAATAGGACCTTGATCGCCATGTACGATGACATGGCGTCCGGTACGCTCGAGCCACACGTCTACGAAGCTTGCGGAAGGTGATTCATATCTCGCAAAAGTCTTCTAATAAGACATTTGGAAATCCACGATTCGTAACACGGTAGGACATACTGCCCAACATTCCGAACTGCTTCGACGAGATAGGCTTTCGCATGGAAAGGGATGGGTCAAGACACCTACCTGAAAAGGGGGCTCACGGAGCTACCCAAATGGAAGTGTCGTGTAACAAGAAATACATCCACGACGCGATGGAGAGAGGCTCCCGTGGCTCAATGGACATGTCACGAGTGTCTCGCCACGACGCTCGGCGACGGTGTGGCGACAGAAGCAACAGATGCTCCCGGAACAGCCTCCGCACCGTCTATGGTCAGGACGACGTTCCGACTGCCCGTTTGCAGTCTAGACGTAGCGATCAGCAGGAGCCCTACCCTTCGAGATTCTCCAAGTAGAGCCACAAGGGAAGCCAACGCATCGCGTGAGTACGTGTCGGCTGATGTAGAGACAAACTAAACTTGTGGAATACGAGAATCTTCCGCCTACTTGCGAGTCGGCCAAACTCTTGGCGCAAACATTCCTGAATAGATAATAGATCGTCACTATACAAACTCTGCGTAACTCGTCTCACCTACCTTAACTTCTGTGACTGTTAGCTTTCCATGTCACATCTAGCCATCTTGTGGTAGTATAGTGGTTGCGGGATTACGTTGATCCTAAGAATGCAGAGATGAAGTACTCCACGGGACACAGCCATGTTTCAGCGACAACAGAGATTTAACATGTTTCCAAAGTCTCTCATTTCATCGCTCGCTGCTCTTCTGAGCCCGCATTATCCCACCATCGATACAACGGCTCAGGCTTGATGGGAGGCTGAGCCCTGACATGCGACCGCTGCAAGAAGGATCGCCACCACCAAACCAGATACCTGACCGACCAAGGCAGCACTTGCCGAAGCTGATAGACGACAAAAGCAGTGCCCGGAACCTTGAAGATCTGATGGAGCTCCTCGAGTGCCAGCGCCGTCATGTTGCCTGGGTTGTCCGCGTCGGCAGCGCCGGCAGTTTCCCGCACAAAGAGGAAGACGGCGGCGTAGGTGAGGAGACAGAGGAAGGTGAAGATTCCGAGTAAGCCCCCATGGCGGAGAGGCGAGGCCGTGATGGCCGGGACGAAGAGCGTCAAAAGTCCAGCACCAAAGAGATTGGCAAACACCGAGAAGCTCATGCCCACAACACGATGATCCAGGGGGAAGATCTCGGCGGAGATGGTGAAAGGGACGGGTCCCATGCCCCAGGAGTAGAAGGCCATGTAGAGGTAAGTGAAGACTGCGAAGGCAGCATTGTGAGAGCCTTGGACGTAGCTCAAAGCAGCCGCGCCGAGAAAGATGCAGAGGAAGGGCATGGTGACCATGAGAAGCCAGCGGCGTCCTTTGCGGTCGATGAGCCAGTAAGCTGGAAACGCGAAGAGGAAATTCGTGAGTCCGATGCCCCAGCTCATCAGGAGAGGTCCGAGGAGGTCTCTTTGCGTCACTCGTCCGCAGATAGCCCCTGTGGTGTCGGCGTAGAGGGTCGAGGAATAGAATATCAACACATTGACGCCGCAGAGTTGTTGGCCGAGCATGCAAACGAATGCCGTGATGGTCGCATTTCGAATCCGAGGGACCGTAAAGAGATGCCCAAGCTTTTGCACCAAGTTGGGCTTCCGATGGTCCGCTCCGGCGAGACCATCACGATGTTCGACGTGATGTACTTCTTCACTCTCGGCGCCATTGCGCTCCTTCGACTTTGGTGGATATGCTGGTCTTGAGAAGTCATGCTCAGCTTCCATTTGATAGTGAGTGTAAAGCAGCTCTTTCGCAGCCAAGATCCGAGAGCCTCGCAGTCTCGACAAGGTTTCGTACGCTTCATCGTATTCGTCGTGAGCCATCAAGAAGCGTGGCGATTCGGGACAGGCAACTAGGACGAAGGCGAGCAGCACGATGGTTGGGAAGACGGACGACGCAGTCATCCATCGCCACGAGTCCGACCCTGATCGAAATCAGCAACAAATACAAGATTGAAGGATAGAAACATCTCACCAAGATAGGAAACGATTAGGTTGGCACTGAAGCCCAGCAGGATCCCAAGAGCATCGAAGCTAGCGATGTATCAGCCTTCATCCATACCCATATATGAGCCGATCAGTGCGTAGCATGCTTCGTACAGTTGCCAATTCATCACGATCGATCCTGCGTGCATTAGTAAACATCTACCCGTTGATGACAGAGAACATACCTCTCATCCGTGCAGGAGCCACCTCAGCCGCAAAGACCGGGACCACAGAGGCCTTGCAGCCCATGCCAATACCGAGGACGATGCGACACCCCAAGAAGGATGGCCAGTCGGACACAAGTGCACCTCCGATAGACGCAGCCAGGACGCAGGTAGCAGAGAAGCATAGTGCGGCCCGACGACCAAAGAGAAGTTCATTAGCAGGGTCAGATAAGAGCAACGCACTGTACGCACTCGTCAGTGATACCACTAGACTTGTCCGGCTTGCGACCTACAAAATGGCGGCAGAGAACCAAGGCGCGGCGTTGACAATAGCGAAGATCCAAGATCTACTGCCCTGGGCATCGCACTCAGCCCCAGGACTGAGACCGAGACGCTGCGGCCAAGTCAGATTCGCGCCATTGGAGCCTGTGAGAGGGATTAGCTGTCTTCGATTCATGTTCTGATTTCACCTACCGGTCTGGTTCCATCCTTGAACAACGGCTGCGACACAGAATGTGATGATAGCTGTCCGGAGCTCTTTCGGCTGCCCCCAGAATCCAATCGGCTTTCTCGTGGCCCTGACGGTGCCAGTGTGTTCGGGACGAGGCTTGCGTCTCCAGAACTCCGAATGCCAGAAAGGTGGTTTACCATGCTGAGCCAGAGTATCTTCTTCGTCTCTCTTGAGGTCATCTTCTTCAACTCGTGTCAGTTGGCCGACGTCGAGGGTCTCAATTGATCTCCATGCGAGTGGATCCCGAAGGATGCGGGCGGCCTACTGTTCATGAGCAATAGCTGGTGAAGATTCGCCGTCTTCTCACCTTGAGGAAGACGGTCTCGTACTTTGCCAGTCCCGGGCGACTGATGAGTTCTTGAGCCTTCTGATCAACTTCTCGATCTCCCATCCGCTGAAATGGGTTTTGGATGCTACCAGGTCTCTCATCAGCTGGAAGTCTGCAAGTTGGACACGTAACCGAGCTCACCGGTGTATATCCGGTCTTTGATGACGATGGTGGAGCATATTGGGGTTCGTGTGGCAGTCGATTACCCATTCATTCTTTCGACAATGTTTCTCTGGCCTAGATTACCACAAACCAAGCCAGCAGATAGCCATGCGGGTGGCAACGCACACGCTCTGCAGTACTTGTACAAAGTCTGGAACAAAGCCCTAGTTACACATGTGCTGAAGTCATGTGAGGCTGAGCCAGCGGCCAATGTACGATGCAGCTAGGTCACAGCCCAACCCAACTTTTGCGATTAAGTAACAATGGATTTGTTCGCCAGTGTCGAAGGGCCGTGGAAGGAAGGCCCATGGAAAGAGGAATTGCGAATGAATCCTAGATTTGTCAGAAAGGCGCTATTGGGAGAGTCGCAAGGACACGAGCAACATGGCTTTGTTTTGCTCTCGAACAGGACGAAGACTGGGTGCACGCGACATGACGGCCGTGGCTGAGTGAGCGAATCCTCCTGCAGATGGCCATTTCAGGTCGCCCATTTCAGAAGAGTGCGACATGCATGCTGTGCTTGCATTGGCCCGGTTATCCATGCTCCAGACAACACAACTGAACGTGGACTTGTGCTCGGATATAGGGCAAGTCTTCCTCCAGCGCTGCCATATTCGCAAAAGTCCCTTCCGCGCCGCAGTCGACTTTTCCGGAGGCATGTTGCCTCTCGCGAGGAAAGACCAAGCACACAAGAGGCTCCATGCGGGGGCGGTTCATGGGGTCTGCATATTGCCCGGGGCAGTGCAGTGTATGGCTCGCGGCGCAGGATCTCCGCATGCTTACCGCGTGCTTACCGCGTGCTTACCGCGTGCTTACCGCGTGCATAGCGCGTGCATGGCCTCTCCGCGAGCGATACAGGGCGTCCGTGTTGACGATGGATGCCCTCCAAGGCTGTTGCAAGTTGCCTTGCGTCTCCGTGGAGGCTGTGGCGTAAAAGGTGTGGAAGGAAGAGTATGGCCATGTCATCGCCTGCTCAATACATGTACCGACTACGCACGCGGCGGGCTTGGTTTTTCTCCCTCCTCTCCTTTCGGCATTGAATCATCTTGTTTGGAATCGCCCTCGATCGATTCTCCTTCTCCTTCTCCTTCTCATTCTGGTGCACGTCCGGACTGCTGATGGCGTCCGCTGCGCCGATCGAGAGCCTCCAGCATCTGCGACGACGACAACGACGACGACGGCATGGCGGAAATCCTGGGCGGCATCCAGACTGCGGAGGCGATCACGGGCCTGATGACGGCGGTGACCAAGATCATCGTGTACTGTAAGAAGCTGAAGGACGCACACAAGACGGCGGAGAGAGTGTTGGATCGGATCGGTGGGCTGGAAGCGACATTGGAGAGCGTGAAGATGGTGTTGGAGGAGCGAAAACAGCATCACGTGCAACATCACGTGCCATGTCACGTGCAACATGCACACCACGACGTCATCCCGGGATTATTGTCCGGCAACACCCGTGCGATATTCGAGGGGAACATCCGCGACAACGCGGATCGGTGCAAGAAGACGGTCGAGCGCATCCAGAACAAGTTGGACAGATACCACTCGGCCAAGGGAGAAGACCACATCCGCCTCGCAGACCGGCAGAAGCTGGTCAGGAACGCCGCCGACCTTGACCGACTTCTCGGGATCCTGGATGCGCATAAGAACACGCTGGTCATCTCGCTCACCATCCTCAATATGTGAGCACGTTCGCCACGGAGATGGGAGGTGGATCGTATGGAAGAATGAATGGTGCGACTGACCATCTCCCAGTTACGACCACGACCCGTCTCCGGCCCATATCAACGTCAACATCGACGTACCCGCGGCAACGCAGACATGTCCAACCGGCCAGCAGTCACCGACATCTCAACATGCGACATGTCCAGATGCGACATGTCCAGATGCCGACACCAAGGGCGATCTCTCCGAGAAGGCGTTGGAAGACCTGCAACCGATCCGGCACATCACCGACCGCATCTTATTATCTCGCCTGGCCGAGAGCACGGGCGACACCCAACGCCAGCCCGATTGTCTTGCACCCCCTGATCCCCTGCGCTACACTAGTACTACCTCTGGGATCAAGTCAAATTCCACCATTCGAGTGTCAGAGCCGGCAGAGTCGCCGCCGGCCACTCACCCCGCTCAGCCACGGGTCGAGGCCATCACCTTGCCCGACCAGGAAGCGCTGAAAGAGTTCATATTGACCTACTCGGAGCGAGGACGCCGGTACTTGGACGCCTGCCAGTATGCCGAAGCGGAAACATGCCTCGACACGGCCATCGCATATCTTGCAGCCCTGGAAGACGCAAGCAGCATCCAACTCAGCCAGCTCGTGGGCCTGCTCGAGAACCTCGCCAGAGCAAAGGCCGGTCTGCGCTGCTGGTCAGCGGCCGTCAAGATCGTCCAGGACTCTTTGCTGAACTCGAATCCTTTACTGGAGCGTAGTGATGCGGGGAGTCCCCTTCAGAACAGGCTCATCATCGCCCGCCACTTGGAACTGCTAGCATCGGTGTATCTAGACAAATACCTGCGAGACCCCGATAGGACTGACGAGGACTGGATTTTGGCGCATAACAGCGCTCAAGATGCGTGGAAAGTCTGGTATGAGCTGGAGACTTGTGGGCAAGCTGGCTGGTCCAAAGATCAGTCTGACCACCTCCACGAGTGCTTACATCTGCTAGTTCGAATCTACAAAGCCAAGGATATGCATACAGAGGCGCAGTACTACGGAAGACAGCTGAGAGGTCGCAATTCATCAGTCGAGCGATCAGTTCAACATTCGCATCCACAATCTCGCCCAAGGCCGCTGTCTTGCATCACGAGCATGCCTCATCCAGCTGACCCGACCATCATACATGCATTTCACAATCAAAGCATTGATGGGATAACAGCCCTTCGTAAGGCTGTGGAGGCGGAAAACGGGTGGACTCTGATCCACTTGCTCGATCCCGCTCCCGCTGGATGCAACATATCCGTCGACGAACACGATGTTGATGGCACTGCGCTTCATTTTGCTGCAGCCAAAGGCATAACATCCATGATCAGTGCGCTTCTGATAGGAGGTGCGAACATCGACGCCGTCGACGATCGCCACAGAACGCCTCTGTTCTTGGCCGTCGAGCGAGGCGATCACGCGAGCATGAGTATCATCTTATCGTGGAACGACGGAAAGGTGGACAAGAAGACCACACACGATCGTCAGGGCACTCTTCTTCACGCCGCGGTCAAGAATGTCGACACTAGATGCACCGAGCTTCTCCTTGCAGCAGAGCCGGAGCTCCTCGACCAGGTGGACAGATTCGGACAGACTGCATTACACTATTGCGCGGAAAGCGGCTGGGTCGAACAAGCTCAAGTCTTGATGCAGCACGCTGCCACAGTCAACGTCGCCGACAATCAAGGACGTTATCCCGTATCTCTCGCTCTCACCCGTGACAATGGCGATCACGAAGCGGTCTTGAAGATGTTGCTCGCTGCGGGAGCCAGTCCTGGGCCGACCCAGTTGACCACCAAACAGCAGCAGTTCTACGATAGAATTCACATTCGACTCGCTCATAAACAGCGTAGAGCAACCTTGGTCTCGGAGTCGACCCACGACATTTCTCCTAGGACATCCCGTGCGACTAGTGTCACGACTACGGCGGAAGGAGAAGAACGGAGACGGAGACGGCTGTCACTATTCCGCGTGAGGTCAAGCTGAAGCATGTTGACCACCGAGATCAAACCATGCGGAATCCGATTGTCGTTGCGGCTGCTCACATGAGAAGCTGCATCGCTGACGATGTGTACTCGAGGCTCGCCACCTTGGCTACCTTCTGCACTCCTCACCGCCCGCCTCATGCTCATTCCTCGCAGCCCTAGCGCTTCATATTCCTTGAATTCAAAGGCCGCGCACAAAAACATTGCCCTGTGTTGATGCGTCAACCCACCCGGGCAGGAATCAGGAATTCATGAGATCAGCTCGGCACTTCATCTTCATAACTTCTAAACCCCGCCTCCGGTGCTCCGGACTGCTAAAGCAGATGTGAAGCTCTAAAGCCTCTTCAGCGGAACCCGGCGAGCGATGGAGTCGAGGGAGGTGTTGTTCACGAACGGAAAAGGTCCTGGCATAGCCCTCTTTCTCAGACGGACCACGTCTGCCATCACTCTCTCGCTATTCTCTCTCTAATCGATACCCAACCAGTCCGAAGCGACTTCGCCAGCATCATCGGGTTCCCCGTTGACGTCGACTTTCTACTCCGAAGCCGCGAGAAGTCGACCATTCTGACCATGACGAACTGGATTCCACACATCTATCTTGTCGCTCTCCATGCTCTTGACGTACTTCTTGACCAGATTCGAGAGGTCGTTCCTTATCTAGCTGCCCACGGATAGTAGTCGTGCATCTTCGGGGAATGCGTCGTACTTGAGATGGCAGATATCGGGCATGTGTCCCGCCGTCGTGTGAGTCACAACAACGGCGTGGTCGGGTGCCATGACTGTGTGCTGGCTGTCAGCTATGGTTCAGATGTGCTACATTGTCCAGACGCTAAGTTTGATCGATGAAGAGAATATGCTAGCAGCTAGCTATATGCTTTTCGTCACTCCACTGGAGCTGCAAGCCTCGAGCTCTGCAATTGGTAGTGGTATCGTACCGAGCTTTCTTCGAATGGCTCCGAGTGGGACATGTATATCAAAATGTGCCTGAAGCTTAAGAGCCGCCTATTGCTTGTGTATACGCAGTACTGGACCCGTACGGTGAGTACTGACGATCGACCAGTTCCTCGTCGGCATGGTGATCTGCGTAAACCAGGGAAAGAGGCCGATGTTCGTCGTCAATACGAGTAACAACATTGCGAAGATATTCACCGGCACTGCCAGCTTTCTCAAAGACCATCTTTCGGCCGATAGAGGCTGTTTCCTGACCGAAGGCGCCGGAGGAAAACACACAGCCGATACTGATGGAGTAAGAGACTGAAGCAGATCCACGCAGAAGACCACTGATACTGTGGAGCGCAGCAGTCGTGCTGTGTGCCAGTGTTGATGAGTGACAGCGCTACTGGTAGCGAGAGCGAGAACGCTGGGACATCGCCACTGTCGATCTGATCTCAAGTCGGCGTATGTCTCTCAGTCCATGAAAAAGTCTCATACCCGGCGAATACCACGTCGAAGAAGAAGAAGAACACCGTCTCGAACAAACGACCAAGCTTGTCGACTCGCGACTGGTGCCAGCGTCGTGAGACAACAAGCTCCGCTCATCATCAAAACCAGAATCGCAGCCAGAGCACTCGCTCCAGCTTTGCTGGATAACCCCGGGTGAGAAAACATGCCGAAATGGGAACGTGGACGTCTACGCAATACTGATTGTCTCGATGTTGGTGATGCGAAAGCAATGTGATCATGATTACAGAACCTAGGATGCCCGTCGAGGAGGACCATCGTCATCGTCATTCTTGGGACGTTGAGAGATGCATCGTGTACTTCTCCAGTTCAGCCAGATGGGCAGCCGAGGCCGAGCCGCCTAGGGATTCCGTCGCAGACGACATTTCGACGATACATGCGGCTCCAGTGGAAGACTTTACTGAAGGAGGCAAAGACTTCGCTGGCCGGAGCTTTTGGCGCTACAATTCAGAGTGGTATGAGCATCGCCCGGACTTGAAGATCGTGGACTACGAGGATGATCTTCTCGTAGAGAGGGAGAACTTTGGCTCCGAGAGTGTGTTGCGGAGAGAAGCGAAGAGGATCACAGCCATCGTCATGCAGGCGCCATTTGCCATGGTATCGGTGGATAAGATGGTTACGTTCACAAGACTCACGGCACCATCACCAAATTCAACGTTCCAGTAATGTATGCCGTCACGGCAACGCCACATTGCCCGCCCAATCACATGTAGCCATCCAACTGTATTAGAAAATCGCCCTTGGCGAGAAGATGGCGCAAACTCCGCGAGATCCAGGCATACTGTCCTGCGGTTGTTGGAGACACGCTTGCGATTCCAGCCACTAGCGAGAACAAAGTGTACCGACGAAGGAATCGGGGGCTTACGATAAGCCGGCGCTGATCTGAAGCTGACTTCTACAGTTTATCCCGTATCCAGTCCTGTATCTGGCTGAAATCGCGACACGTGTGGGTCGCATACGGTCTAAGAATGAGACCTGGTCCCTCGACAGGAACGAAGAACATAGGCGCTAGGTCCGCGTTGCATTGAACGTACTGCCTGAGGTAGTCGACACAATGATCTGCAACAAACGTTAGCCTTCATCTACCACTATCCGGAGTAATGGAGGAAAGGTTACCAATGTGTAAGTCCCGAAGCTCGCCGGGCTGGCGAGGATACATGTCGGGATGCAGTGCCCGGTGGAGTTGTCTCTACATGGGCAATGTCAATGCTGGAAGTGTGTGCTAGGTCAAACGTAGAACCTACAACGCAATGGAGTCCGTGATGAACCTCCAATCCCATGAGGTAATTTCCGTCGTCATATCGGAATGTCTTGTCTGCGATTATCTCTCCCGCTTCTCCTGATCTGTTGAAGTTGATCGCTACCACCATCAATCATAGCCCAAAGACACGAATGTTCTCAAATGTGTAATGGAGAGGTCCCTTACTGGAGAGCAATTCATCCCACTCTCTATCCATCTGGGCTTTTGGTGCCCCAACATATCGCGGTGCATCGTCGTCCCACTTAATTATATACTGCGTGATATTCTCATCAGTCCAGACGGGATTGATGAAAGATCTTTCCTCCAACTGAATCGCGTCTCTGATTTCCCCTAAGCGAAAGTCGTGAGCAATCTTTGCATTTGTCAGGACGCACGGGACAGTGTGTGCTTACAGTAGTCCGTAGCGGCACCATGTCTCCAAAAGTCTTTCTTGCACCGCTTGTCGAACGTATGAAGCGTTAACAGGAGAACGACGATCGCAATAGCCTCAAGAAAGCTGAGCCACCCAGCAAAAGTCCAGTTGCCGCGGTCAGTCAATGGTCTTGAATTACCGTATTGAACTCCACAAGCCTCGCAGGAATCCCCAGAAGGGAGGGTTTTTTACGACCTCGACCACATTGACATTCTTCTTCGCCTTCTACATAGGAAGACTCAAAAGCGAATGTTACGGCAGATGGTGAGAGCAAGACTCGATGGAAACTGGCCGGCATCTGCACATGAAAGTTCCGCGGAGCACGATGATCGTTGCAATTTGAGTTGTAAGTATTTGAGGTACCCGGCCAGAATGAGTACTGCTACCCCAATAGACTCAAGCTGGCCAGAGTATCAATCTATCGGAACAACTTTCTGCTTATGCACCAGCTCTGAACTAAAGTTTGTGTGCACAAGGGCAGTGAGGTAGCTTTCCATCTCTACAAACCATTCCATCTCCACTCTACAATCCATTCCTCAACCGTTCTTTGACCCCTTGTCTGTTACCCTTGAGCTCAGCTCTGTTGGCTCGCCTTGCGAATTATACCAACCGCTGACCTGGCCTTGATGGACCCGTTCAACGCTGACTGCGGTTAACCCAGGTTCGAAAGCAAGAAGACTTCTCTCCTCGCCTATCGTCGCACGTAGCTACCTCAGTGCGATTACCTTCAAGAACACACTAGCATTCAGACTTTAACGCGAAGAATTACATCTCAACAAGCGGCCTTCCGAGCCTATACACTTTCCTCAGTAGTAGCCGGTCGACTCCGCGCTGACCACCGCGGTAAATAATCTGAAGCAGGCTACGTAAGGAGTTGTACTAACAAATTGCGAGACTGAAAGGCACGAGCCGGGTCCTCGTCACAGCACACGCCCCAGCTCCATGCATCCATGGTAGCTACTGAAGCGCGAAATATAATTCGTTACCTGAATGTAAGGACGACGAAGTAATGTGTCTTCGGCAAGATCGAGCGAACCAGACGTTGAATCTTTAGGCCCTGATTCTTTCAAAGTCTTAGGAATTCTTGCTGCGGCGGTCACGTATGCAATTGCCGTCTTGTTAAAGCATTGCCTTCAGATCCTCCGGCCTTCTCATGTTGGATGTGAAAACAGCATTATCATATCTGAGCGTACTCTTCCCGAGCCCATACCCTCTGGCTATGATTATAGTAAGAGCTCCTAACACTCCTCCGTGGGCGCTTCTGTCTTATGAGAAGCAACGTACCACGTTCGTCTGCATTTACTTGTTGATAAATTCGGTCCAACAGGTATAATTCACATGCCATATCAGGACAGCGTCCGTCAAGGTATCTCATCCAATCTTTGGTTGCCTATGAGTACGTCTGCACAATGCATGACGTGTTTTTCGCCAGAGACGTATGGATCCAGCGTCGATTTCTGCATTGTGAACGCGCGCCACTCCTTCCGCCAAGTGAAGATACAATGCCAAAAGTGGTATCCACGCGTCTGCCAGACAGTCGGGAATGGGATATTGAGCAGTACATCGAGAGGCACAGGCTCTTTGCCTTCGCTGTCGAAGTAGAGAGGCCAGGATGCATTGAATATTGCGACCTCACGAAATTCGTTGTCCAGGTCTTCGTCGACACAATGGGGCTGCTGCCATTGACCCACAACCCAGTCGTATTTGCATCCTCGAGAGATGGACTCTTCGAACGTCTCACCACAACCAGCACAGGGATTCTCAACCTGGGCCAGGAGTGGCACACGCATAACCAGTACGTGAACCACCCGCCTTCCCAAATCTATGGCGCCCCAAAGCGCAAAGAGTGCCCAAACAGTGACCAGTAGGAGTTTGAACCTCCGAAAGACTCTATTATCCAGTCCTCTATCCTGCAGTCTCTCTTTTTCATCGCCAGACAGATCATCCACGTGCTGGCCCATCAACAGAGGCGTTTGATCGATTTCCTGTGTCATGAGGACCCTGTCAGAGATTAGTCGAAGAACACAGGTCAAAGAGCCGATGTCTCATGCAATTGCGGAGCTTACAGAAGAGCGAGGTCGCTAAGCGGTGATAAGAATGGTGGTCGTTCGTTTCCTGCTACTAGCTTCCCTATAGACCAGCTATAATGCTCAGTCTCAGTTGTAGCACGTGCAGTGCAGATTGACGAGTAGAGAACTGAATTTCAGATAATTAAGAGATCACCACAAAAGGTCATTTCGTAGCAGCTCGTAATCTCCCCTTCACCAGGTTGGAAAGGTTTTCGGTTGGATTCTAATGCAGGGCATTCGCGCTAATCCACACCTTTTTTACTAATCAGTCCCCCTGTCGCCACAAACATCAACCTCCCTTCTTTGATGTCCGTGCAAAAGCCTTGCAAACTCCAGCAGCAACCGGAAGAGGTACAAGATCATATCGTCCTTGCGAAGAGTCTGCTGCGCCCATTGGCTCCCATCAAGGCCGATCCGTTCCGCTACCCCGTCATGTCCCGCACAGTCCTGTTTGCCAGTCGAGCTGCTGGTGTCATGGCCTGGGTCGAGTAAGCAGCCAGGCAGGAAGTAGTCCAGTACACCCCAGATATCCTCGAAGTGGTTCTGTATTGGCACAAAGTGCTTCCATGGGACAAGACGAGAATCATGCCACTCGCTGAATATGGTAGCTTTGACTGGGACAGAGCTCGACAGCATATGGCTACGAAAGCGCGCTGGACACGGCTATTAGCTACGGTAGGCATGACGTGAGTTGTTCCCACTCACCGCTATAACCAGTTCCATCCAGGTCGATAAGATACTTGTACTGCCGCTACACCTGTGAAGGAGGGACCCAGTCGAGTAGGCGAAAGGTTGCTTCAAGCTGACCCATGCAACTGTCTGGGTCGTGCTCGGCCTCATCAAGGATACTCCCATCCTCGCAGCTGAAAGCATAGAAGCCAACATCCAGATGCTTGCCGACGAATTCCGACAGCATGTGACAATCACCGTGCTTGCGTAGGAACTGAAGCATGGATTCTGGCATCGCCCAGGACACAGAGCTTTCGCCGGACTCCTCTATCTCAAGAATATTGTCAGCATCCATCATAGCCACGAAACGATGTCGATGGAAGCCGCGCCAGTTGCTCTCATTGATTTTACCGCCGCTGTTCGCACCACGCCAGAAGACCACGTCACTCTTGAGACTCCAATCATCGTCGGTCTTTGAAGCGCTATAATATGCCCATGGCTCGCTCCAGTATATCGTGGAAGGTACACGAAGCTCGACATTTCCGGAGCCTCCCCCAACTTTCTGTGCTGAAAATACTGGCACAGGATTGACCGTTACCCGTTCACACCAGGGCGCGAAGAAAGTTCCATGCAGCTGGAGGAGCTCCGGTTGATGACAGGGACTCTTGGAATGCTCATAGTTACTGACAAAGCCGGTGTTCAAGTCTGTGGCTATACGCGTTGGGCTCCCGTCTGCAGTACGTGCTCCCGATTCGGGCGGGCATGTAGCGCGAACTGTATCTGGCATGTGATCATCTGCGTCCGCAAGTTAACACGCTATGGCACTACTGGTATACGGCGAGATGTGCATTGCGTGTGAAAAGCGACTGACCATGTTTCCATTGGATTTCTCCATGCTCTGTGCTCCTGACTTCCGTGTGCTCAGAGTCAACTCCTCCATGCATGCGCTCCCAAGGAACCAAGACCCTTGGGGAAGGGAACACATTGTATGGTATGCGCATGTCGGGCAAAACACCATGCGAAACGTCCGTAACGGCGCGCAGCATGCCGAGCAAAACTTGACAAGAGTCGTAGTCACACGTAGTGCTTGGTTCTCCATTCCTGATCCAGAAAATTTCGATCTCGTTAGCATCATCCTCCTCGAGGGTATGTACGAGCCATTGCAAAGATGAAGCTGAGAGGTTTCGAAATGGGGCGAGGTCCTCATATATGGGATCCCAAAACTCCTCGATTATCAAAGCCTGAGAGGAGTTTGCAAATTCTAGCCAGGCATCGAAACCGCGTGGAGGGGCCATTTTTCGGCGTTTGCAGTATGCTTCTATAGTGCTGGACTTGGTGTATGTGCGAGTCGAGAGCAGGGCCTGAAATCGATTTTCTGCGTTGATTATGAGTTGCTCGACTGGACGTCGCTCGCGCACTCCTGGCGAAATCCATTCACTGAAAGCAGATGGCCAAGTATAAGACCATAGACTCTTAGCCCATGGGTCTGGGCCCAGAACGTAATTAGCTATCGTGGCGAGAACAATTGCTGACCCCATCAGCGCAGCCGACTTCAAAAACGGTGACGTCGTAACCAGAACCATGAGCGCAAATGACAGCAGTGTAGCAAGAGTGCAATCACCAAGCGCTAGCAATTATTCTCCAGACCTTTTTATGGTGAAGCGCTCCACAGACAGTCGCCATACTGACCCTGCAACGGGAACGACAGAGCTCCAAATCTCCCCGATACCCCTTCAATTAAACGATTACAGTCTTTGACGTTGTACTTTACCTTGTACGATTGGTGCCCTAGCTGTTAAACTCTTTGCGGCGGCCGGTCCTGGGCGACACTCTTAACATAGATACAGCAACGTCTATCCGTACGCAAACGGACTCTGCACTTCTCTCCAGCGCAAGTAATCAGCTTATTAATTTATAGTTTCTAGACTAGAGTTATATTAGGACTGCCTGAGCAACCACTCCTCACATCCCGACGGGGTTTCACAAAACCAGGTAACAACGCCCATTTTAGCGCAATACTAGTCATAGCGCTGACCGAGATCGCTTAAACAGAGATCACAGGGCAAGTGGTTTCGATTCATACGCTGCAATTCCAAACGAATTCGCCATTCACTCAAAACTTCGTCCTTCTTATGCTTTAGGTCCCATTCTCACTCGGAGACCAAGCATGTCCAGCCAGACTTCCTAGCTCTGCTTCCGGTCCGGAATCCTAGAATAGATGTTTAATGGATCGATCCTGCGCTTGGACTCATTTTCGTTCGTCGGCGGGCTCCCCGTGGTTCTTGCTAGGAGCTCCGATGCCGTATCTGTACACTGTAGGTACCTGCTTTAGGCAAAATCTAGCTGTAATTGAATGGACATGAAATGGGGCGTACGGGCGCTCTTGAGGTACGAGCGCTTCAGAGGCCCCAAAGTAGCGTAAATACGCGCATATCTGAAGGGATAAGCGGACTGGTTGAGCCGTAGCGCGCGCCATCGAGTTGGTAGTAAGAAGATAAGTTACAGTCGAAGGAAGTTGGAGGCATTTGGCCCTTGTGCGTAGACCATATCTTTCAACACTATCAATCCGACGCCTAGCCTTCTCTCTTCCGCCAACCTCAATTCCTCTTATATTCTCGAATTCCTAACCTTCCTCGAGAGAGTGGGACTTCTAGTACCTCATAACATTAGCGCTTCACCTCATTGTTTTTGCCAATATCTCTTTTGTTCGCGTGTTCCTCCTTATCCTCGTGTTTATGGAACTCCCAGTATGTCCTGCCATCCTGCTGACGCTTCACCTTACTGTTTTCGCCAATGTCCCTTTTGTTCGCGTGTTCCTCCTCATCCTCGTGTTTATGAAACTCCCAGTATGTTCTGCCATCCTGCTGACGCTTCACCTTACTATTTCGCCAGTGTCCCTTTTGTTCGCGTGTTCCTCCTGCTCATCCTCACTCTCACGATCCTGAAATCTCCAGTATAACTCAAGGTCCTCCTGACGCTTGCCCTTCTCATTTTCGCCTAGATTGCTTCTGTTAGTATGTTCTCCACACTCTTACAGGAGTGAAACTCCAGCATGAACTGATCAAACTGATGCTTACCATTCTCTCTTTTGCCAATGTTTACCTCAGCCCATTCTGACGGCGTGCGCTTAACACCCTCATACTCATGTGGAGTACGCCTCCCAATTTCAAGGAATGCCTCGTCGTTTGGAGAAGTGGTCTAAACCAAGACTGTTAGCGTCTCGTCGAGGTGGCGTGGCGAAGGTGGAAACTGCCTACAGCAGAGACAAAGCCAAGGCCAAATGTGGCAACAGTGACAAGAACAAAATGGATCTTCATTTTTATCGTCCGATGTTTTGATCTCCTTCGGCTCGTCGACGTAAGGCAGAGAGGATGTAGGATCGTATCTCGTAGGGAAATCTTTATATGTCAGCTCATGGGGTCTTGTCTCGGGGGTCTCGTCTCGAGGTGAAGCCACTTTTCCAGCTACCCATTAACTTGCATTTCTTTGCTACATGTGTTCACCCTTGGTAGCAAGTACTCAACCTTCTCTGAGCTCTCCGACTGTCTAGCCACAACGATGGAGCTCGCCTGTCGTAACTCAATCGACCAAAATTGGCAGAATTACAGGGTGCTATTTTGCGGGCCGAACCTTATATCAGCTCACATTCGACCGCTTCCTATCTTCTCGTGGTCCCGCATTCTAACCATGACATGATCGCATTCATGTCATGACCTGATCGCATTTTGGCCGGGGGTTCAACACAGGCGGAAGATACACCGCGGAGTCATGGGCCGCGTTCCCCCGGCATGGGTTCGTAGCCCTCACTCACCGACGCCAACGTACCTAAGGTATCGGCTAAGGTATCGGCTGAACCAGTACTAACCCTGGATCGGGCAAATGGTTGGACGAATAATAACGCTTCACGCGCTGGCGGCCACTCTGCTCTGTGCTCTCTCTGGCTTTCACGCCGCCCGAGCATGCATGACAAGTCGTCCACGTTGACTCAGCTTTTCCCAGTCTCCGTTCTGCTAATCGTTGGTGGCATGCTGGTCCTTCTTGCGACTACCTCGACTGTTACGTTGAGGTCGCGCCGTATGTCGATGTGCGTAACGCAAGGTGCACACGAGGACTTGCCGGACATTGGCGGCAATTCATGTATCCAACGGTGAGTAGACTTTCGCACGTCGTCGCAGGGGAAGCCAGTCGTCTGACAGCAGTGACAGCTCGATACCCTGCGCTTCTGATGTTAGGTCGGAATTTGTGGTTATGAAAGCAACCGTCTTTCATAAGGGGCATGATGGGCGACTCGTGCCGTGGAGACACTTCTTGCCTTTGACCCTACCTTTGGCTCCGACTTCTGACTGATCCTTAGCTTCTTCATCGGGGATTGCTGTACGACTGATACGTGCGACAGCCAGGATGCCCGAGCGCAAGCAATGACCACAGCAACGGCCACATGGGCACGGCACGTAAGGTGCTCCGCAAAGCAAACATGGAACTCTAGCGGTTGCGTCTGCCGCTCGAATATGCTCCAGTGGTGGCCAAGAGGCGCAACGTTCTGTGCGAGGCTCCTGTCGAAGCATGAATCTCAGCTCTCACATGATTATTAAGATATGCTGCGAGAGCTCACTCTACATAACCACTGATAGCCAATCTCAATCCCCGACGAGTGCCGTAACTCTACCACATCACGCCACATCCGCCCGCACCTGCGTCCAACCAACATAAGTATCCCAAGGAAGAGACTCACAACAGAGGCGGACATAAGAAGCCAAGGAAGTGAGTGTTGAGAGCAAGACTGCCCCGTCAGTGAAGGTACATGTGACAGAGTGCTTGACATATCACGGAGGTGGTAGTGGAAGGTATCTTCCTGGAAGCAGTGTGCCTCCCCACAGTCTCCTACCAGCCTTTCCGGAGGCTGAAAGGGCGATGAGATTGAAGAATTTCGTCGTGACCCATCGTAGCAGACTGCTTCGGCAACGATCAGGTGTCCACGTCCGATACAAGCTTCACAAGCGAAATGGGTCTCAAATCCGGTTTTTGCTGTGCTTCCGACCAGTTGATACTCCCGCAGACCATCTGCAATGTAGAAGTTCCAGTGACTCACCCCCGTGGCTCCATTCCACGAGACATACACGTGGACTGGATCCAGCTGTGTGCGAGTATATGTCCACACATCGGGCGGCCGTTGAGGGATGCCATTCCACGCACCTAATAATCCTCGATAAAGAAAGAACCTCTCGTCAAAATCGACTTCCAGCGCGGGCTGACCATCATGATCAAATACCGCGATTGATGCGTTGGAACCGGAGCACAATACTATTCCTCCAGTAGCGTGAGTCCGGAGACTGCCCATGCCATGCGCCAGAAGTCCATTGGTGATTCGACGTTGCGTAGTGGCAATCATAGAGACGTGGTCTAGTAGAATCTCGAGACCTTGTGACTCGTGGTGGAAAACAGAGTACCCGTCGGATGCGTTGTCGAAGACGGTGATGAGAGTGTGGGTATCGTTTTCGAATACCTGTCGAGCGTCGTGCTGTCGATGGAACTCGGCGCCTGTGCCACTAAAGGAGGACTGTTTCCCGCCGAGCTGCCACATAATTCTCCCGTCCCTACCCGATATCTTATAGATGCCATCTGTGTGTCGAGCCGAGATCAGATAATTCCCATCATCGTCTTTATCCACCGAGTTGATATGGAAGAAGTCGAAGGCATCTCGATGCGAACGCCCGCTGCCGAAGACACTGGGATGCTCCAGATATGAGATCGCTGAGTCCGTAAGAGCAACATGATCAATTGCGTTCCACGAGAACAAGAGCGAGCCATTGCTTTGATGCGGGTCTACCTCTTGGAAGCCAGCGTCAAGCAGCCAGCCTATTCCATGCTCGAAGCCCAAGTCGTACGGCCGTGGCCGATAAACAGTGAAGATCGCGGAGCCAGAGGCAATTGTGCGGAACTCGTGCATATCCAAAGCACCGTCGGCAGCACCAAAGACGCCCAATTCCTCGTAGCGGCGATTCAGGACTACTCCTTGACCGAATCCAACGGTGATACGCTTCTGTCCTCGAAATAAACATAGCGCGGCCTCGTTCTCCCACACACATGGCTCGAAACTAATGATGCTGGAGCCTGTGCTGGCGCCTACTTCAGTAGCACCACTCCAAACAAGATCCTGCCAACTCTCAGTTCTTTCCGCACAAGATAAACAATCTCAAGATAGGCGGACGTACACCGTTTTGATCTATTATCAATGGTCCAGCTTGCTGTTGCGCATCGGCATCGTTCTGCAATGACGGGATGGGGGCCACAAAAATGAGATCACTGCCTTTTCCTTTACGACGGACGAGGTAGAGAGGATGTACAATGTCTGGTCGCTGCGGCGAGTGCGAGTCAATCAGCTGCAACGTGCTCAACGGTCGAAATTCGGAACTCGACGAGACATACCGAAAAGTAGAGAGGGCTTGGGACTGTCATATCCGACATAGCGACTCGGGAGTCTTGGACTAAACATTGGCTGGGAGCTCGTACTCTCCAGACAAGGCTTTGGGATCGTGCAGACCGTGATCCGATCTCGTGACTACCGCCGGCTTTTCGAAACTGTACTTTTGCAAGGGTATATGAATGATCCCTCGCCAGCGCCCTCTCGAGAACACGCGCTCGCTACTCCGAGGTCGCTGCGCGACTGGTGGTCCGGAAGAGTCTAATGGAGATAGCTCCGAGGTGAGTATAGAGGGCAGAGCCGGCAGGTACTATTACTCCTCTTACGAGCGCGTGAACGGAAGTAGCCCGGACGCTCAATGTAAGGTTAAAGTAAGTTCACTAGGACAAGTTCCTAGAGATGTAATGCCAAAGGACGGGGTCGCTGTTTACTGCTAGGCCTTCCTAGTCCTTTCGAGGCCCCTCAGGACCAGCTCCCCGGGTTTTCTTTCGTACCAGCATTAATAAGCGGTGTCTGGATGCTATGGAGCCTTTAATAAGCAACATGGGGCCTTTCAAACTTTGCTATTAGTTGAGCGCCTAGGGCACCCGGGGCGATGGCACCTTTCCAACTATTGTACGGCATACTATTCGCTTGGCGTATCCTTGCTCATCGGCTGCCTAGATTGCTCTACAATAACATCAGTAATGATCGAACAAGTAAACGAGCCAACGAACGTTGGAGAGCAGTCGCGATTGATAGGCTCTCATTCAATCGAAGGTGAACTTCGTCCTTAGCAGAAACGTTCGGCGTGGGCGAAATGGGTTCAGCCGTGTCTTCTGTACAATGTCTTCGTCCTGACGAGCTTCCTTTCGAATACACAGTCAATAGCATTGCACACTTAAGAAATTGTCCTCCCGATGGATGGTCCAGGTTCAGGTCCCTAGAACTCACCCTACCGTGCTAATTAATCTCTTATCAAGGTCCAGCTTGCTTCGCTTTCCGAAATGAAAGAGTAGCTGGCTGCTCTGTTCACAATTTTCGCACGTAAGGACAACAGCTCGGGAAGATAACGGCAGGCGTTCAGACTAGCTGTTCAGAATGTTAGAAGATTCTAGCACCCCTTTGGATTGCTAGTCAAGCAAGCCTTGTTTGTTCGTTCGCAGGGGCTCCCTGTTCCACATGGACAGAATGAGAAGTCCGCTGCCGAGCTCTCGAGCCGCAATGGGGATACGTACCTTGGTCATTTCGATTTACAACAATTGGTGCTATCGTGCAGAGGGGTGCGATCGATACTCCGAGACCCCGTCCAGCGATTACATTATATCCATAGTGCTCAGGCTCAACAGAGGCAAAATCGAGAACAGTAGAAATCAGAGCAAACCTGGTGATTTGCGCGGCCGTGATCAGAGTGAGAACGAGACCCAAAAGCATGCTCAGCTTTCCGACGAGAATTGGCGATGATGGAGCCCTCGCAGCATCGAGTGTGAGAAGTTTAACATCGGCATCCAGAGAAGAGTCATTGTTGACAATCGGATATCGCTAAAGAAGCTGTGTGATAGCAATGGTCATTGGAGCTCCGAACAGTCAGCAGCGGCTCAGTATCTTTTTAGTCGTAACTGAGGCAGATAATCAGTTGCAAAGGCGGATGGGCAACCATTTGTTTCAAGGGCAGGAGAATGGAAAACTCACAAGAGTACAACCGTCCAGACACAATTGTGAAAGAATCTCCAGGGGAACATCGGCTAGGTTTGTGTTGACTTCCGACTTGTGAGTCCCTCCCAGAGCACGATCATGTACAAACCAAATGACGCCAGAAAGGACAAACACTCCAATGATAGCAGGCGATCTGAAGGAGACGGTCAGATTGCCTTCCTGTAACGCGGCTACCAAAAGCATTGATGCCGCTGGAAGAAGACCAACTCCTGACAGGTCAGTCTTCCAAGAGACGCTCAAAATCAGACGCAACAGGCCCTCTGACTCCGTGGACGTCGACTCGCAGTATTGAGGAAAGCTCCGTGGACGGCTCCCGATGATGGTAAGCTAGGCAGTCGCTCCGACAGGTAGACTGATGGCAAATCAGCTCTGCCGCAAGAAGCTTGAGCCAGGCAAACGCATCCTGGAATGACCAGAAAACTCAGCGCCAGTTGATTGGATTCGACTCGTTAATGCCACATTCGACGATTGGTCCGAATGTTAGGCCGGAGGGCATGAACATGGATGCAATTTGGGCGATCTGTTTGTGTTGTGTAGTTGAAACCATCTGAACGAAGCCAATTGTGCTGACAGCGTGAACGCCTGCGCCTTCAATGCCCTGAAATGCCGCTGAAAAGGATGCTTCTTGAGTAGTCAGTAAGCGGAACAGACGCACAAGGTTGTGCGGGTGACTTTCAGGAAATACGGAATTCGTCGAAGCGGCGCAGCCTCCAAGAAATGCCATGAAGAGAATCATGGACGTACCCAGCGCGGGTCCGAGGCCTGCGAGATCAATTACCTTGAGCCATAGCATTGAGAATCCTTGGCGTGTCAGTAAGTCCTGGAGTGGTGTTCAAATTTGACGCACCAGTAAAGGTCGACAGATATGCGCTAAGGATCGAGCTGGTCTGCTGAAACGCATGAAGGTCGAACGAGATAAGGATCAAGAAGGTACTGACGAACGAGACTTTGAGCGCAGCAAAGAGTACTCGGAGTCTCAGCCCGACGGATACTGATATAAGCCTCGTAGACCTGCAATTTGGAACCTGTCGGATGCCTCCTTACCCGAACCCTGCGATATGGGCTCTCAGTGCTTTGAGATAGCGTCCAAGCGGCTCTTCTTCAGTGTCCCCTGAAGATGAAGCATCTTCGCTGGAAGCTAACTAATCTGCTGTTAGCTCATGCGCTTCGCTAGCGCCCGTCTCTGCTTGGTCATCCATTTCAGACTGATGCAGGAGGTCTCTACAAGCAGTTCCAGTGTGAGGGCACGATGAGGCCTTCAGGCAGGGAAACTGTAACGCTTAGTGCACAAAGCATGGGACTCCAGCGATACTACGTAGTCTTCCTTTGCTTGAGGCACCAATACGGAAAGGTGCTCGAACATATTGGTATATGATGAAAAGCCGAGTCGAGCAGCACGGGCCAAAAGAGTGACACTCCAGATCATGTCGCGTACAATGTATGAATTGATGGGAAAATGTTGTCGAGAGCATCGTCTGCCTTGGTGTAGAACGTGGGCCAGAAGCATGCTCAGTCGAGATCAGCCCCCAGCAAAGATATCGGGCTAGGAGCCGTGATCCATGAGGTCATGCTGGATGCACTTCCTGATCGACCGGCAGCAAGATCGCTGCTTGTGTGCGGCTGAAGTCATGAGCGTTGTAATGTTCGGACGAGCGCTGTGAGCGGCGCACAGCTTGCGAAAAGAGCATTCTGGTCATCGGCATGGCGTGTGCGGGAAGGAATGCCTCCTCCGTACTCATTTTCGCCTACGGCGGGAAAGGGACTGGTACGAGCTCATGACGGACGTTGTTGGTGTGATTTGAGATAAATGTAATGTAGTCAGCGTTTTGGCAGATGAAGTCGGCGAGGACAAGTTGGAAAGTGGAGCGGCCCGAGCCCAGCGGGCCGTGAGCCAAGCTTTAAATGGTGGGGCACATACGGGGGAGTAAACAACGCCAGAACGGAGCAGTCGCGACGAATCTCCTCAAGGTACGTAACGTCTTTTTAGCAGCAGGAATGGCTGCAATACATCTCACGCGCTCACTCATAGCAGGCGCGAGTACGGATACACAACAGAGCTTCACAGCAGCTTTTCATGCTCACACATACGATACCGGTTGAGCAATGGATACTTTCTTGCGCAACTGGCGACAGGATGCCCTCAACCGACACCAATACGACTCCGCCATATTCGTCGGCGACAAGCTGCTAGCCCTCACCAGTATGCTAGATCCCAAGTCCATCAGGTGACTGGCGTGTTGACATGCTACAGATTCCGAAGAGGATGCATTCGCTCTCGCGCAAACACATTTCGCTGCCGGAAACCACACGCGCGCACTCGCCTTCGTCTCGAGATCAGACCTAATACACCGCAGGTCCGCCGCACGATACCTAGCAGCACATTGTCATATCAAACAGAACCGACACGAGGAGGCGCTCGAAATCTTGGGAGAGAAGAATCCAGTCCACTTGATCACGACGACAGACGCGGCACGGCGGAAGCTCCAACATTTGAGCGATGGCATATCCAGCAGACAGTATGGAAAGTCAAAGCTACCCAGCAGATCCGAACGAGTGGACAGGAGTGAAGAGCGAGATCGGGAAGATGCGGTCAACATCAAATACGAAGCAGGCATGTGCTACCTTCGAGGGCTATGCTATGCGAAGCAGAACGCCTTCGATCGCGCGAAGCAATGCTACAAGGATGCAGTGCGGATAGACGTGCAGTGCTTCGAGGCTTTCGATCAGCTGGTCAAGAATGCGCTCATGAGCCCAGCGGAGGAATGGGACTTCTTGGACACTCTCAACTTCGAGAGTATACCGCCAGCACCAGGACAAACAACGGCACTGCCCGAAGCTGCCGACTTCGCCCGGAATCTCTACATAACACGGTTGTCCAAGTACGCGCGAGCAGACGAGCATCAGGCCGCCGTGGAGACATTGTCAACGCACTACAAGCTCTCGCGAAACCCGGACATCCTACTTGCCAACGCCGAGAGAGAGTTCACCCGCTCCCGTTTCCAGAGTGCTCTTGACCTAACAAACCAAATCTTGGATGCCGACCCCTACAACTTCGCTTGCCTGCCTTTGCATCTTGCACTTTTGTCTGAGTTGCAACACACGAACGCCCTCTTCTCTTTGTCGCACGACCTCGCAGATACTCACCCCGAGGAGCCCTGTACCTGGTTGGCTGTTGGAACCTACTATCTTGCCACCAATCGTGTACCGGAAGCCCGATCGTACTTTTCCAAGGCAAGCCTGATGGATCCTCACTTTGGGGCAGCGTGGATTGGCTTTGCGCATACCTTTGCAGCAGAGGGGGAGAGCGACCAAGCTATAGCTGCATACAGCACTGCTGCGCGACTGTTTCAAGGTTCCCATCGGCCTCAGCTCTTCCTTGGGATGCAAGAGATCGCGCTTGGTAACCTCACACTGGCAAGAGAGTATCTGACGGCGGCTCACGGGCTCTGCAAAACCGATCCGCTGCTGATCAGTGAGCTCGGGGTTGTCTGCTACATGGAGGAGCGCTATGAGAGCGCATGCGAGCATTTTGAGTTTGCCCTCCGGATGGCAGCCGAGAACGATGCACCTCCCAGCCAATACGTATCCACGCGACTCGACTATGCGCATGCTCTGCGGAAGGACCAGAAGTACCAAGAAGCGCTCGAACAATTCGACGAAGTCATCCGACTTGGCCTTCGGGATGCCGGGGTCTTCTCCTCCAAGGGTATGGTCTTGCTTGATCTTGACCAGCCCTTTGAGGCGACCGTCGCCCTCCACGAAGCCCTGGCTATCAGTCCACAAGATCCGATCGCCAGCGAGCTACTCAAAGCCGCTCTGCCCCAGCTTGAGGACGTCGGTATTCTCGGTCGTGAAGACGAAGAGGAACTCGACCGGCGTCTACATCACGAACTGAATCAAGCGCAACGGGTACGGAAATCACGAGGGCCGCACAGTAGCCGTCGGCGGCGAAACGTCGAATCCGGAGCGGATACGTGGGAGGAGATGGATTTAGATGGCACAAGCATGAAGCAGGCAGGATATCGGCAGCGTGGGACTTAGCGACTCCGTGCATTGTCGGGACTCAGAGCGAGGATCAGGTAACCCAGCGCCTGGGTCTCGATCGGGCGGCGTTGATCTGGGTATGACTGGCTTCCACTTCCCCAGGAGTACCGGAATGGTCTTCTTGGCCTGGAAAAGCTGGACTTGTGGGTGACTTTTCCAGGCAAACAGCATAGCGTTTGGAGTCTTGGATGGGCTGGATTGCGGAAAGAGCGAGGTCAGGAGGCCTTCTTGCATAGCGAGGACTTGACAGTCGAGTCCAGTTTACGTTGGTGTCATGGAATCCGAAGCACTTCTCATTTCGTCGCAATTGGTAAGTCTGTGTATCGGCCGAGTTCGCCAGCCCACAGAGATAGATGCTCGTAAAATTGTTGAAGTCCTCGATAATCGATGCTCGCGGCAGGATATCGACCGCGGTGACAACGAGCGTAGCACAGAGAACCCGAAATGCCGCCATAGGAGATCTGAGAGTCTAGCGACGATGGCTATAGCGTCACTGATGATGTTGCGTTATTATATATTGAGGTCGAGCGGAGGAGATGCTTGTTGTAAGGATAGGGCTGCAGCTGGCTCGCTTAGGTGGGCTAGCCCGATTGGGCAGGAGGATGCATGCGTCTTGATATTGTTCTCGTGGAAACTTGTTTGACAATTGCGGAGTTTTACGGGCGAAATTGGGATGCAAATTGGGATGCAAATTGGGATGCAAAGCTCTGCAAAGCAATGCTGTAGGTCATGAAGTGGATAAATGGTACGCGAGTCGCGGATGTGTCAAGTGTTGTTGTTGAATAATGAATGTGATGATGAGGTGATGATAATAATCATGGACGACCATCAAGGTGCATGTGTCAATAATGCCCGCGCGGTCCTGGCGACCATCAACCTCCCGCTTCCGGTGTCTGTTGCTGTCGAGTCTCATCCCATCCTACTACTTCCACCCGCCCCGCCATCTCTCTTGCCGGAGCCACTCGAACAAGACGTCACCGTTCAAACGCCTCGCACTGCCACAATCTCGACTGTCACAGACACGTCTCCTCGTGCTCGCCGTACCACCACCACCACCACCACCACCACCACCGCCGCCGCCGCCGCCGCCATCTTCCCCGCCTCGACAACCGCCCATCTCCCTCCACGTCCTTCGCTGTGCATCGCCCATATCTCCCGCTCCTCCTGCTCCACCCCGCAGGCATGGAGCACCCATTCTCCAACATGGCAGCCGCCACCGACCGGCTCTACAGCCGACCACAGGGCGTCGAGCGCCTGGCAGACGCATTGGAGAAGCCACTGTTGGACAATCGCACATACCGCGTCATCCGGCTGCCAAATCAGCTCGAGGCCCTTCTCATTCACGATGCCGAGACCGACAAGGCCAGCGCCGCCATGGACGTCAACGTCGGCAGCATGTCCGACCCGGAGGACATGCAGGGAATCGCCCACGCCGTAGAGCATCTTCTGTTCTTGGGCACCGACAAGTTCCCGCAAGAGAATGATTACAATCAGTATCTGAACAAATACGCCGGCCATTCCAATGCCTTCACCGCGCCCACTTCGACAAATTTCTACTTCGAATGCTCGGCCATGTCCACCTCCAACAGCCGCGCCTCCTCCGCAAACACCAGCCAAGCCAGCCTGCCCGCATCACACGCATCTTCCACCAAAACTGCCTCCCCGCTCTGGGGTGCCCTAGACCGATTCTCCCAGTTCTTCGTGAAGCCGCTCTTCTTGGAGGATGTGTTGGACAGAGAACTGCGAGCAGTAGACTCGGAGAACAAGAAGAACCTGCAGAGTGACAACTGGCGCTTGATGCAGTTGGGAAAGAGCTTGTCCAACAAAGACCATCCCTGGCATCTCTTCTCCACCGGTAACTACCAACTCCTGCATGACGACCCCATTGCAAGACAGGTCAAGATCAGAGACGAATTCATCAAGTTCTACGAGAGGCATTACTCGGCAAACCGCATGAGGTTGTGCGTGCTGGGGAGGGAAGATCTGGATACACTGCAGCAGTGGGTCGAGGAGCTCTTCACGCCCATCGTGAATAAGGACCTGCCGAAGCTGAAATGGGAGGACATTCCTGCGTTTACCGACGAGGAACTCGGCCTCCAGATCTTCGCCAAACCTATCATGGACCAGCGGTTGTTGGACATCATGTTCCCTTACCCGGACCAGGACGACCTCTACGAATCCAATCCGAGCCGCTACATCGCCCACTTGATTGGACATGAGGGACCAGGGAGCATTCTCGCGTATCTGAAGGAGAAGGGCTGGGCCACCGATCTCAGTGCTGGCGCCTCTACCGTCGCCCCAGGAGTGGCCATGTTCTCCGTCGGCATTCGACTGACGCCTCAAGGCCTGGAGCGTTATCAAGACATCCTCACCACCGTCTTCCAGTACATCTCCATGATCAAGGAGTCGCCGCCTCAAGAGTGGATCGTCTGGGAGTCGAGCAAGCTGGCCGAGATGGAGTTCAAGTTCAGACAGCAGACGCCGGCCTCGAGAACGACCAGCGGTCTCAGTGGTATCATGCAGAGATCGATTCGACCAGAGTGGCTACTGAACGGCCAGACTCTGATCCGAAAGTTCGATCCGGACGGCATCCGAGCCGGCCTGGACGCCCTGCGACCGGACAACTTCCGATTCACCCTCGTCAGCAAGGAATTCCCCGGCGACTGGGACCAGAGAGAGAAGTGGTACGGCACCGAGTACAAGTGCGAGAGGATCCCGTCAGACTTCATGAGCGAGCTCCAATCCGCCGCGACAGCATCCGCAAGCCAGCGCCCGGCCGATCTACACATGCCACGCAAGAACGAATTCATCCCGACACGCCTTGATGTAGAGAGGAAAGAGGTTCCGCAACCTGCTTTGACCCCGAAGCTGGTCCGCAACGATCCGAACGTGCGCATGTGGTGGAAGAAGGATGACCAGTTCTGGGTCCCCAAGGCCACTTTCTTCCTCAACCTACGTTCACCCATCCTGAGGACCTCTCCCATCATCTCCGTGCTCGGCCAGATATACGCAGATCTCGTCGAAGATGAACTGTCGACGTATGCGTACGATGCCGAGCTCGCAGGCCTGGACTTTAACATCAGCGCGGGCCTGGACGATTCGATGACGGTCGAGGTAAGTGGCTACAACGACAAGCTGTCTGTCTTGCTGGAAAAGGTCCTTCGCACCATGCGCGATCTCGAGGTCAAGGACGAACGCTTCGAGATCATGAAAGAACGCAAGGCCCGCTCCTACGAGAACATGGCTTGGGCGGAACCGTTCAAGCAGATCAACCAGATCACCAACTGGGCCGTGAACGAGCGCCGACTTCGCAGCCGCGAGTTTGCAGAGGTTCTTCCATCCGTGACAGCAGACCACGTGAGGAGCTTCGTTCCGGAGCTCCTGCGCCAGGTGCATATGGAGATGTTGACCCACGGCAATCTGTACAAGGAGGAGGCTCTCAAGATTGCGGATCTCGTGGAGTCCATCTTCCGAACAACACCGTATCCACCAAATCAGTGGCAGCCCGGCCGCTACTTGGCTTTCCCGCCTGGCTCGGATCATCTCGTCGAGGAGACGCTCGCCAATCCGGACAACGTCAACCACTGCATTGAGTATGTGGTACATGTCGGCGATGCGCAAGATCGCGCGCTGCGTGCGAAACTACTCCTCATCTCCCAGATCATTGACGAGCCCTGCTTTGACACCTTGAGGACGAAGGAACAGCTGGGATACATTGTCGGATCCAGCCCGATTGTTTGGGGGAATCGGATGCTGCATCGCATTCTCATTCAGAGTGAGAAAGATTGTTTGTATCTGGAGAAGCGGATTGACGCATTCCTGCTCAGCTTTGAAAAGCTGCTCCAGGACCTGACGAAGGAGGAATTCGAGGAACAGAAGATTGGTGTCATCAACAAGCGGCTGGAGAAGTTGAAGACGCTGTCGCAGGAGAGCGGTCGCTTCTGGCATCATATCACGTCGAAGCAGTATGATTTCGAGCTCGGTAAGTGGAATTCCATACTTCTGTTCAACTGAAACTTGCGCTGACAACGACATACAGTCTACCGCGATGTCGAAGCGCTTGAAGAGTTGACCAAAGAAGACGTACTCGAGTTCTTTGCTCTCTACTTCAAGCCCGGCTCGCCTGTTCGCGCCAAGCTCTCCGTCCACATGGTGGCTCAAGCATCCGCCGAAGACGTCGCAGCCACGATTGACCCTGACTCACAACGAGCCAGCTTGGCAGCCAACATTCTCGCTCTCCTCGGCCAACTCGGCATCACCGCTGATTCTGATGCTCTCTCTTCGTCTTTGGAGAAGGTGGATCTTGCCAAGGATAGCGCTGCTGAAGACATTGTCACTGCAACTGGTGATTACCTCACGAAGGCAGCTGGCATTGCTGCCGAGCAAGTCGAAGGCATCAAGCAACAGGCACAGGCTGTCCTGCCACAGATCCTCCCCACGCTCGGAATCAAGACTCCAGCTGTAGGATCCGAGACGAATGGTCACGCATTGAATGGCGATGTCGCTGTGCCAGAGAAGAAGGAACCAATCCGCATTACGGACATCAAAGCTTTCCGGGATAGCATGCCCCTCCACCCGGCGGCGAGGGCTGTCAAGGACATTACGGAGTTTGAGGAGATTGAGCCGAAGCTGTAATTGGAAAGGAGAGAGGAGAGAATAGGAAAGAAATGTGGGTGGCACTTGTCGGTTGATTTTAGCGTGGCGTTGTGGTCTCGGTCCAGCATTTTGTGTGCTAAGGACGCTACATGAGATATGTACTGTATCGAGATTCGATTAGATTGACGTGCATTGGCATGCGGCTGTCGATAATGTAACGCTATTGACGTACATTACGCAAATTGACGTTATATACAATTTCGATCATGTAACCCCACCTCACGTCCTCCGCGATAATATATTAATATATCCGCATTACACTCGAACTTCCTACCGCCCACGAAGGCGCATTTCCATACCGATGCATTCTGAGTCGTACATTATGGATCTTCTGCCGTCTAAGCAACCTGGCATCCTCGAGCGCCCTTGAATTTGATCGTACGTCCCGAAATCGCGACCGTGGCTTTTGAGGTTTTTCCCTGGAAAGTTCGGACTAGCAAGAATTTCTCGCACCAGACATCGTCCACCCAGTCACGGCGAATATACAAGCATTCGAGACATGGACCATTGATTACTCCTAGACTGTCGAGTGATGCTTATCCAAATGAAGTTGCGGATTGGCTGGATTTGCCGGCCATCACAGTCCTGCTTCCATCCAGGTGCCGTGCACTAAATCCACACGATGCGATATATTGCAGCAATGGCAAGGCTTTCCTGACGGATGAAAATCCTCCACGCAATCAATACCACTTCCAATTCCAATGGCCAAAGCAAAGAGCTCGTCCAAGTCCAATGGCATAAGGAAGCCCAAATCCGCCGGCGCTATAGAGCAAGCACCGGTACCACTCAAAGCACTCCCGGTCACTCTTCTCTCAGGATTTCTGGTATTAGTCGGATGCTTCACTTAGGCTCGAAAGCATGTTGATCTTCGGACAGGGCTCAGGAAAGACAACACTCCTCCAGCACATCCTTCGTAGCGAGCACGGCTTGCGAATCGCTGTGATTGTGAACGATATTGGAGCGTAGGTTCGGCTGCGTTACCCTTGCAAACGAATGCTAACTCTGTGATAGTATCAATGTCGATGCCAATCTCATCCGCAACACACACCGTCTCACTAGAACGGAAGAGAAGGTCATTGCCCTCCAGAATGGCTGCATCTGCTGTACACTCCGCGGCGACCTCTTGGAGGAGCTTGTCCGACTCGCCGAACTTGCCGAGTTCGACTACATTATCGTTGAAAGCAGCGGCATCTCTGAGCCCGAACAGGTCGCGGAGACATTCGATGCCCGCCTGGCTGAGCAGATTAGCCAGATGGGCCAAGGCCCAGAAGGGCTCGATGAGGCTACACTAGCTACTCTCAAGCGCTTGAAAGAGGCCGGCGGGCTGGGAAATTTCGCAAGACTGGACACAGCGTGCACGGTTATCGATGCCTTCACTATGTTCCATGACTTTGAAACCGTAGATCTTCTCTCGGCAAGAAGAGACGATGTCGCGCCCGAGGACGAGCGTACGGTGAGCGATCTAATGGTGGATCAGATCGAATTTGCCGATGTCATCGTACTTAACAAAATCGACATGGTTGACACCAAGACCAAAGCCCGCGTGAGAGCTTTGGTCAAGAAGCTCAATCATCGCGCGAAGATCATTGAGAGCAGCTATGGCAAGATCGAAGTCAGTGATATTGTCAATACTAGCATGTTCAATCTTGAAGCTGCACAGACTGGATATGGATGGCTTCAAGATCTGCATGCTATGACGGTCCGGGAAGTCAATGGCAAGAAGACGGTTACACCAAAGCCCGAGACGGAAGAGTGAGTGCCCATGTATACCCGTCTCTGGAGTCTTTCTGCTAATAACATGGACAGATACAACGTTCGCAACTTCGTCTATGTCCGACGTCGACCTTTCCATCCTCGCCGTCTCTTCGCTTTGTTGCATGACAAGTTCATTCTTCAGCATCCACTGGACGAAGTCGACGAGGACGAAGAAGAGGACGATGACGACGCTATGGAAGAAGATGAAGGCGAAGATGATGGAGAAGAAGAGGAGGACATCGACATGGAAGGCCCTCTCGATCTTCCCGACCCGTCTGACATTTTAGCAAACAAGAAAGCCCATCCCCTCTTCGCCAGGCTCTTCCGCTCCAAGGGCGAGTACTGGCTTGCCACTCGCCCCAATCGTGCCGGCGAATGGTCTCAAGCCGGGGCAATGCTGACTCTTGCCGGCGGACGGCCTTGGTTCTGCACCATCGATCGCTCCGAGTGGGAGACTGGCAACGCGGACATTGACGCTATGGTTGAGCATGACCTCACGAAGGGTGGTGTATGGGGTGACCGTCGACAAGAACTTGTCTTTATCGGCGAGAAGCTCGATATCGCCGGTCTTGAAGCCGAGCTCGACGCCTGCCTGCTCGACGATCCAGAATTCAAGAAGTGGGAGCAAGTCATGATGCGAGGAGGCGAGGGACCGAATGGTGGAAATGCCCATGTGAACGAGGCAAAGGCCCAGGCTTTGGCAGATCTGTTCGACGATGGGTTTCCCGACTGGGATGATCCGGATCACAACAGCCACGAGCATAGCGGAGGCGACGCAATAGAGGTGGAATTGGACAGGCACGATTCGCATTATAGCAGCTCGCCTAAGAATCACGGTAAAGCGAAGTATAGTATCCGGAAGAACGGGACAATATATTTAGATGTTACTAA